GGGAGTTGACATTACAACGCCTACTCAGGCACTTGCTTGATTCGAGGAACCATCGACTCGAAGTTCCCATTGTGGTTATGGGTGTGCCTGCTTTTCGGGAGTATCTTCATACTCAAGAAGGAAATCCGCTACGGCTTGTCCTTTATGCGACACCTTTGGCTCATAGGTTATGTCGAAGGAACTAAGCTCGATAGCTCACTTGGTAATTCTCCCAGATAAATTAGGCTTAGAGAGTATACCTCGTATGGGATAGTTGGTGAGTACCACAATGCTATGAGATTCAAAATAATGCCGACGCTTCCTCTTGGCGTAGATCAAAGCTAAAATAACTTTTTCTGCTTTACTATATCGCGTCTCCGCATCTGTCATGGTCTTACTCGTGTAGAAGATTAGATATTGCCTCTTTCCTTCGTTTCTAATCAATGCTGCACTTATCGATGTATTAGAAATTGCCAAGTACATAATAAGAACCTCCCCAGGTTTTGGAGCGGATAGAATGGGTGGTTCAGCCATGTAACCTTTTAACCGACTGAGGGCCTCTTGCTGCTAAGGTCCCCATATATCTTTATTCTTGGATCGTATAGCATCAAAGAATGGTTTGCACTTATCTGACAATCGGGATATAAATCGGCTGAGTGCTGCGATCCGACCAGTAAGTACCTGCACCTCCTTGCGATTTTTTGGTTCCTGATTCTAGATGAAGGCTTTAGCCTGAGCCGGACTTACCTCTATCCCTCTTTTATTCACTATGTGGCCGAGGAATTGACCTGATAATACAGCGAATGAGCACTTTGATGGATTCAACTTCATGTTGTACTTATTCAAAATATTGAAAACTTCCTGTAGATGCTTCGGATGATCTTCTTTCTTCACACTTTTAACCACCATGTCATCTATATATGCTTCGACTGTCTTTTCCAGCAGACTATCGAATATCTTGTTGACAAGGCGTTGATAAGTAGCTCCAGCATTCTTCAATCCGAAGGGCATGACCCTGTAACAATAAGTCCCCTTTTCTGTAATAAAAGTCGTTTTTTCTTCATCTTCGGGGTCCATAGGAATCTGATTGTATCCCGAGTATGCATCTAGGAATGTCAACCTCTCGTAGCCGGTGGTAGCATCAACCATCTAGTCTATCTTGGGCAAAGGGAAGCTATCTTTAGGGCAGGCTTTGTTGAGGTTGGTATAATCTACACAAACCCTCTACTTTCCATTCTTCTTTTGTACGACTACCACGTTCGACAACCACTGCGGATATTGTACTTTTCGAATGAAACCTGCTTGCAATAATTTGTTTACTTCTTCAGCTATAATGCGATTGCGTTCAGGGGCAAACCTTCGGTGTTTCTGCTTGACTGGTTTGAACTCCGGATCCACCTTCAGGCTATGGCAGGAAACTGTGAGATCGATCCCTACCATGTCCGAGTGATCCCATGCAAAGGCATCTGCATTGCTCCGGATGACATCAATTAATGCCTCTTTTTCTTCTGACATGGAAGAAGAGCCTAGATAAGTAACCTTCTGAGGGTCGCCGAAGATAACTTCCACGGCTTCGAGGGTCTCCTCGGTGGGTTTCGCAATTTCCTCTTCCTCCTTTCCCTTAAGATACTTGGGCAGTGGGCTCTGTAATTGCTATTTGGGTCCAGTTTTGGAAGCCTCACCTGGTTACTGTTGAGTCAACATCCTCTTCGCCTCAGCCTGTGTCAACATATAGCATTCCTTCGCTGTGACTTGATTGCCCCACAGATTAATTATTTCTTTCCCGTCCGGAGATAAACACCGCATCACCTGGTGGAGGGTGGATGGAACTCCTTTCATCCGATGTATCCAACCTCTTCCCATGATGAGATTGTAAGAAGGATAGATCTCTGTTAAAACAAAGTTCTCCTTCAGAGTCCTCTTCGCCGCGGTTACGGACAAGTCTATTACTCCGAGGGGATCTACTCTTGTGCCATCGAATCCCATCAACGGGCTGGAGGTAGGTCGAATAGATGATGACGTGATCTCTAACTGATCAAAGACCTTCTTTATGATTATGTTAGCGCTACTTCCTGGATCTACCAAAATCCTCCTGATCATACAATTGGCCACTAAAAGACTGATGACCAATGGATCCTCGTGGGGGAGTTGCACTCTGGATAGGTCGCCATCTCCGAATCCAATATTAATGTTACCAGAATTGATAGCATTGACCGAGGATATCTTCCTGAGCTTGTGGGTCGCCCTCAATCTGGACCTGTACACCTCCTCGGACTCCTGATCATCTTCAGACCTACCATGTATTGCATGGATGACTTTTACTTGCGTACCTTCTACCTTGCGAGGATAGACCTCGCGGGGTTTTGCATGCTCCTTTGTCATGAGGTAATCCGTCAACTCACCTCTGGCGATCATATTCTCCACATGTCGCCTGAGGGATCGGCAATCGTTGGTTGAATGCCCATAATCTCGATGATGAGCGCAATGCTTGCTTTTGTCCCTTTGCTCTAAGGGTTGTTTTATTGGCTGCGGAATTGTGAACTTCGTTTTATTCTCTTGGAAGAGCCGAGCCAAGGTAGTTTGGAGAGGTGTAAACCCTTCCTCTACCCTTTGCCTTTTTTCAGGTGCCTAGGTGACTGGCGTTGAGGAACGTTGGCTTTTTTGAATCTTTGGAGTTGGGATTCTTTCTCGAAGCTTGTTTTCCACTGTCACGAGAGTAGCGTGCTGCGCTCGGTGGGCTATATTTTCCTCAAGCCGAATGTAGATCTGGGCTCTGGCATTGAGAGTCTGCATGTCAGAAGGAGAATACTTGACTAGGGAAGTGTGGAACTTCGTCCCCTGAATCATTGCAAGTTTAAATGTCTTTATAGCAGTTGCAGGATGACAATCCGCTATTTCTGATGCCTCCATGTTGAATCTTGATAAGAAATCCTCCAATGTTTCCCCCCTTTTCTGCCTTACGGTGAAGAGGCTGGCAATGCTTTTCTTTTGCTTTTTATTTCCGCAATACTGTGCCAGGAACATGGTGCATAGAGTTACGTAATCCGGGATGGATTTATGCAGTCTATTCATGAACCACTCTAGTGCTGCTCCTGTCAAACAGGTAGAAAAAACCCTGCACATCCAAGGGTCATTACGATTATCCAAAGCCATCTTTTGAGCATAATGATCTAGGTGCCGAGAAGGATCCCCTATTCCATTAAACTGGGTGAAAGAAGGCATGGTGAATTTCTTGGGCCTCTCTACCAGATACACATCGTCAGTGAAAGGAGTTTTGATCAAAGAATTTTTGTGTTCTCTAGCCATCTCAGCAGGTGTTTGAATCTTCAGGAGTCTCTTCTCGTCAAAGGCATCCTGAACACCTGCACCATCTGGGATTCCATTGGACCACACCGTAAGCTTATGGCTGGATTCGACTTGCTCATCCTGCGTGCGGCAAGGGATGTTATCTGAAGCCGCAGCCTCGGATCTTGCCTTCCGTTGCTGCTGAACCTCATTCGGCTGAACCTCATTGGGTCGTGCCCCATTAGGTGGAACCCTATTAGGCGGAAGTCCAGTAATCGGAGAAATATTCTGACTAGGGGGTGCTGCTGTGTCACCCACTGGTGGCGGCAGTGCCAACTGGGCCAGCGTCATTTGCAGAGCATTATTCTGCTGTTGAAGCAAGGTGATCTGAGCTACGCTTGCTTCGTTTGCCTGACGAAGTACGTCAAATTGGTGCAGAAACTCTTCATGCATCTTTTGCATCAACTCCGTTTGTTGATCTACTGAAGATCCTCCGTTCGACATTCTGGACGGTTAGCTGCAGGATTCACTTGTGAAACAAAAACAAGAATGGGAATATATTTGCACACGATTCCCACAGACGGCGCCAAAGTGTAAGTGCAAAATTCTACTCAACCAATAACAATTGAGAAAAATAATACAACACACTCAAGAACAGTAAAAATAAATAAGAATAGTATCTAGAGAAGCGTAGAATTGCTTGGATCCCTTTATTGGAGGTCTGGGCCTCTATTTATATACAAAAGTTAGAAGAATTATGGTAGGACTCGCGTTGTTTGTCTTCTAATTCTTTCCATATATCAATTTCTTTACAAATAAAATTCTTTCCTCTTTATAATTCTTCCCTTTCCGGATTTTCCTTACACAGAAATTACCTCCTTTGATGAATCCTTTTCCTTGTAGGACCGGTTCCTTCTTTAAACGGACTTGGGCCGCATCTAACTTGGTACACATGCCTGCTGGCGTCTTGATTCGAGCTTTAGTAAAGCCCGTAGTTAGATAGCGGTAGTTTTGGACTAATGACCAACTCAACTTGGGCTTCTGACGGAATGGGCTTTGACCTTTATTGAAGATAAAGTTATGACGTGGATTGCTCTTATTGGAGGGAGATTTTTCCCTCTACAGTCACCCTTGCACTTCTGGCTTCATCTTTGTCTAATTGAAAACAAAAACATTTGCCTACGGCTCTCTCCATTTATAGTAAAACAAAATAGTTCCTGACAGGACTTGTTAGCCACTCTTTTAGCACAGGACTTACAGTCAAGATTATGCAGTATAGAAGCAATTATAGATTTCACAATTAGTTAAGGTGGAAACTTTTATGAGGCAATATATATATATATATATATATATATATATATATGTATGTATGTATGTATAATCTTTGCATGTGCACCTCAAAATTCCTGCATAATATTGATGTCCGTCTTTTTTCCTTTGTCATTATACGTTACAAATGAACCAGCCTATTCATTATTTCTCCAAGTCAGTCATCTTATCATTATCATTGCTTAATGGATTGTTATGGAAATTCATTGAAAATTCTTAATTTATCCCAAATAGACAGTTCTGTTTTATTGCATGAAAGGAGTTACTGAATTTGAAAAAAATAAATAAAAATTTTTACAGTTAAGTTGCAATGATTGATCATCTGCATTTCGTATCCTTCTTGTTGCATATGATTGTAATACTTCAACTACATCAGTTACTTACGAATTAACTGATGTATTGTGCAGGATTATATTCCAGAAGTCCTGGACAACGTTTCTGTCTCTGAATCTCCTCCTTCCCCTGTATCAAGTTACAACAACTCAGCCTTCAGTTCAGAAGATTTTAACGAAAAGTTGCCTGAATTGCCTCCGCTACTACAAAAAACTCCGCTGGACCAGCCATCCTCCTCCAAGGATGCTACAGAGTCTACGGAGAAGCCTTTAGCTGCAGTGTTGGACCATTTATACATTCAAAAAGGGTGCACTGGTCAATCTATGGTGGCACTTAGTTCAACACACCGTTTTCGCACAAAATACGTCACAGTAGTACTCTACAAGTCATTAAAAAGGTAAAAATGTTGAAGTACTTCCCCAAATTCATGGAGTTGGGAATATAAAGAGCATCCTATTGCTGAGAGAAATGCTGTGACCATTGTTTTCGTAGCAAGGCTAATGTAGAAAAAAATAGGATTTTGCCATATAAATATATTTATATGAATTTCTGTTCATTTTCGATATGTTGATCACTTTTCTTACATGCTTGCCATGGTTGTCACATGAGAAAGTGATGACCTTGCAAACTGAATGTTCTCGAGATAACTTCTAATTATGTCCCTTGAAGTTTCAGTTATGATGCATTCTCCCAACTTACTAAGAGTATAGCTGGTTGTAGGGCTATATAGTAGTAAACTGGCTGGGGAATCCGCGGGCTTTGACGGCCGTTGGGCCGGGCTGAGAAAATTATGAAGGCCCAGACCCATAACCAGCTGTTTCAGGATTCGGTCCGGTCATCTTCCCATAATCCCTTGCTAATGTTTGTTAAATGGTTTCGTTGGCTTGGTTCAGGATGAGCCCACTAGATAGGTTATTTGTAGGCTGATTTTGTTCAATCTGCTTATACATAATGTCTTGTTTTGATAGAAAACTGCCTGCCATATGGTCAATTCTATGAATTCAGTAAAATTCAGGTTCGATTTAGCTTTAAATAGTGTAAAATTCAGTAAATTACATACCACCTACCAATAACTATAGCTTAGTGATATCTTCTCAATCTTCTAACATGGAGGATTCAAATCCCGTCAGAGACCAAAAAAAACATAGGTGCTCGAGTTTCTGGTCATGGACACTGAAGAATTGTAGAAAAATCCTATGGCTAGAGTGTTGGATTTATTTCCTTCTATATGGAGGGAAGCCCAAGTGGGTTTTATTAAAAGCCCAAAGCCCAGCCTTTAGGGAAAGAAAACCCTAAGGAAGTTAGTATAAAAAGAGAGAGAGAGGTTAGCCGCAAGTAAGAAAGAACAAAAAGAAGAAAAATGCAGGTTTTTCCATTCTGCCCAGGTTTGATCAAATGTCCGATCCCGCTTCGGGTTCACAACTCAGTGACGCACAATCTGAACGGTGTAGATCAGATTTTGAGCTCCGGAACAGTTATTCGTGCCCGTGAACAGTAATTGGGTTTTGGTAGAAAAATGCAGGTTTTTCTATTCTGCCCAGATTTCATCAAACGTCCCATCCCGCTTCGTCCGTGGTCCGATCGAGCTGAAATTTGGAGGAGAGGTTCACGACTCAATGAGTTAAAATCTGAACGGTGAAGATCTGACTTTGAGCTCAGGAACAGTGATTCGTGCCCGTGAACAGTAACCGAGTTTTGGTAATTTTCTCTCCAATTCTCTTTGTTTTTTGCCAAGATTGTTGCTATCTTGATGAGATGTTTTGTAACCTTTAATTGCGATTAGAGAAGACTTTGTATACCCATTATTTAGTTGATAGTGGAGATTTTAACTTGATTAAGTCCTGTAGTTTTTCTTCCTCACACTAAGGAAGTGAATATGACTTGGTGTGATTGATTTGTTTTCTATTATTTTCAGCACATATATTATTTTCAGCGCATATAAAAATAAAAATATATTATATTTGTTTGTATATGGGGAGAAATCCTATGGCTAAAGGATACCCATTATTTTTGCGTCCTGTCTTCTATGGTCAATTCTCTGGGAAGGGGTTTGTTTGGTTACTGTGACAAATTTATTACCATGCAAGAGCTTTTCCACTGTGTTAAAGTGAATGGTGGAAGTGGACTGTAAATCAATCCACTCCAAATACGAAATGTGAATATCCGAATCAGATTGTCAAAGGCCTATCATTACATTTGACAACTCGGTCAGAAGATTAAATCAAGGTGGCTATTAATCAAATCATATTAAGAGTCTTGTCTCACCACCACTTATTGAACTCATATCATTAAACACCACCATAATTCCGAAGCTATAGTACAGATCTTCTACTGTGCACAACACGCAATTTTACCGTGTGCATCACACACACATGCAATATATCGAGACTGCCGCACAACTAGATGGAGATCCGCACTTTCTTCTCCCCTCACTGCTCACGTCTTGTCAATTTATCATTTGAGACTCTCTTGGCATAATCAAAACTAAAATTGAATTACATAAATGTGCATGTTCAAGTACGTGTGTGTGTAACAAGAAGAGAGCAATAAATTTTAAATGAATGATATGAAAGATAGTCTCTCAAGTCTCAAATCTAATTTTTCGTGAGTTTCAAAATGATGAGTCCTTGGCTTTGGCACTGACCTTTAATTATTATTATTATTATTATTATTATTATTATTATTTTGTTTGTGCGATCAATAACATATTCCAACATGCCAAGTGACAAGACTATCCCTTCAAACTTGTGTGTTGTTGAGCCATCATCATCATGTTTGACAAATTTTCACTTCACTCCAGATTGTCTTCAAGCTACAAATGAAACTAAAGTTGAGCATATAGAATTGTTTGTAAAATGCTTTACCAACAAAGTTGGATTTTTCATCTTCAAATCATACCATCTTTAATGATATTAAGCACTAGTGGAGGAGGGACCAATTATTCTTGAGAAGAGTCTCTCTCACTCTCTCTCTCTCTCTCTCTCTCTATATATATATATATACACTATACCAAAATATATATATATATATATATATAAATAAAGAGTAATGATCTCTTACTTCTCGTGGAGAAAGAAAATTCTTCTGCATTTTTTAAAATGACCACTAAATTAAATTTAAAAATCAAATTCCAAACCTACCTATAATTTCCTTTTAATACAAAATCACTATCACTATTTTTAATTTCTAAACTTAATATTTTCTATAATCCTGAATTACATTGCATCTATCTATATGTTCTTGTAGCTGTGATGTAACTAATTAGTGTTATTTATGATAATATCTCATGGTTTCACTGTTATAGTATGTTTCCTAGTACATAGGAAAAAAAAACAGAAGGCAGCAAAAAAATCCCATCGAATATCACAAAAGTGAAAAATAATCTTTGCATTATTTCGAATTGCAAATCAATCATTCATCTGTATAAAACCTTAAAAAAAGTTTCTTCTAATTATCGGACCAAGATTGCAAATCAACCCTTCATCTATATAAAATAAACATTTTGATGATGATAGTCACTAATATTCAATTTATTTAGCTGAATAAATTTATCAAATTAAATTTTGAATTCATATGGAATAATATCCGAGTAACCGGATTGACCTACTCATGGTATGAAGACAATTTGTACAGATCACGTGCAGGCTGTGGAGAAGTCTGTGCCATCAAGAACAAGGTTTTATATAGATGAAATGTTTATATATAGAATTGTTTGTCAAATGCTTTACCAACAAAGTTAGATTTTTCATCTTCTAATCATACTATCTTTAATGATCTTAAGAACAAGTGGAGGAGGGACCAATTATTCTTGAGAAGACTCTCTCTCTCTCTCACTCTCTCTCTCTCTCTCTCTCTCTATATATATATATTATACCAAAAATATATATATATATAGATATATATAAAGAGTAATGATCTTTTAATTCTCGTGGAACAAGAAAATTCTTCCGTATTTTTTAAAATGACCACTAAATTAAATTTAAAAGTCACATTCCAAACTCACCTATATAATTTCCTTTAAATACAAAATCACTATCACTAATTCTAGTTTCTAAATTTAATATTTATCAATACCACTAATTACAACAATAAAAGTAAATACCAAACAAATAAAAATATAAATTACTTCACCTCTAGAAATCATGTCTCACCACTAATCGGAATTTTGTTTCATTAAAAATTTTATAAGTGTTAGAAAATTACATCCATTACTTGATACTAAAGTTGACATTGCCTATTTGTTTGAGAGTAAAAAATAAAAATTAAAAAATTACACTATTGACATACAAAACATCGACTAAAAAATTAAAAATTAAATCTCTATTCTTTTATCCACTTGATCAACTTAAGGTAACTTGTGATTTGCACAACACTTCAGCCATAAAAAATTTAATAGATTACAATTTAAATTGTTGTATACTACCCTAAAGGCATGCTATTTAAAAATTAAAAATTCAATCTATTTTTATCTGACCCCTTTGTCACAAATTGTTTCATCTTTCTTGTTAATTTTGTTTTACTTTATTCTAGATTCTAATTAGTTGTAAACACAATATCTTTTTTCTAGTTCTACTTTAATAACAAAAATTTATTGACGTAACGAGAAGATTCACGACAAAAAATGCTATTTTTCTATGAAATTTCAAATTTATTTTGTAACTTGGTTATTTTTCTTAGTGTTTTCATTAAGAGAAAACTACACTTACATAGAGTTAGGAGCCTTAAATAATAAAATGGTCTATTTTAAAAGTTCATTTTTCACTTTGATTGAATTAAGTAAAATAATTACATATGCATCAATAACTATTATTTAGGTACAAAATACCCTCCAAACACTTATTCCAAAATAATAAAAATTATTCACTTAAAATCAAGTATTTTCTTTAAATAATTTCTTTCCTTTAACTTTGAACTATATTGCTACAACTTTCATATATACATACACGATAACTTATACAAATAATAAAAAAGATTCAGTATAGTAAAAAATGGGGCAATCAAAGGTTAGTCAGTAAAAAGAAAAATATAATTAAACTCAAGAATGTATAAATCGTCTTTGCTATAATGCATGCCTTGAAATGATCATCAATTTTTTGGCTCAATTAATTACACTTATTTTATAAATAAATAAATAAATTTGATTGCTAATGCACCATTTACTGAAGCAACCGTTTAGTTTTTTCATGATCTCCCCCTTTCACCGTTTAGTTTATTCATGATCTCCCTTTCTCGTGTGTGTACTGTATGTGTGTGTGTGTATATATTCATAGAAATTTTTTTCATATTTTCAAGTTTATATTGGTATGAATCAGGAGATATGATTAAAGTTATGTGCAAATAAAATTATATATATATATATATATATATATATAGAATGAATTTTCACTTAGTGAAAAAAAAAATTCTATACATAATGAATTTTCAATAAATCATTTGTATATTTCTAAATTGATATTTGCAGGTTTAAACCATATGGATTAGGAGATTTCGTTAAAGTTTTTTGCACAAAATTTATTATATATATATATATATATATATATTGTTTTTTATTTTATTTATTTTGGTAATATATATACCATATACAAAAATGCTAAGTTGAAAGTCAACTCAGAAATCTTGTTTTTCTAAATTTTATGAATGAAAGAATTATTTGATGTAGGAAGGATATTGGTGTCTTGAAATAAAAATTTAGAGGGTATTTTGGACCTAAATAATAGTTTTGGAATAATTTCACTGACACCCCCTGAGATTTGGCTAAATATCAGTTTCAAACATCTTTCGAAAATAACTATCACCCACATTACAAACGTTTGCTCCGTTTTTCAGTCACACCCCAAAAGTTACTTGATGGATGTGTCAGACCACTTTTTACATGTAAAAAGACATTCTTACTCTTTGACTTTAGTTTGAACCACTAAATTGTTTCTTTAATAATTAAAATGACATGCTTACCTTCATTTGATTTTAGTTTGACTATTCAAATGACACGTTTACCCTTCATTTTCCATATACAAAAATAGATAAAGTAGGTGATCAATATCATACAGTTTGGTATTAAAGATTATTATACGCCGTACAAGTGTCCGTTCTATAATCAATCACCTATTCATATATTCCATCATTTCAGATATTCAAAGGAGGTAGGGTGATATATATCTGAAATTGTTAGCATAATTACATAGCCACTGTATAGCACTGTAAAATAATTTGGTTGAGTTGGGTAAAATAATTACATACGAAAAATTATTTTACCTAACTCAACCAAATTGAAAAATTAACTTTAAAAATAGACTGAGTTGTTATTTAAGGCCCCTAAATCTACTTAAGTGTAGTTTTCCCTTTCTTTTTAATACTGTTATTAATAATGGGATGGGATATTGGCACTTCACTTTTCTCCAATTGCATTGCACTTATTTTTTTCTTTTAAAGAAAATGACAAGAAGGTCCTTGAATTCATTAATGTACTATGCCTTATTTTATTATGCCATAACTACCCTTTATACAACTTAAATTTTTATTTATTTATTATTATTATTTTTTTTTACCTTCGTTAGTTCCTATACTATTTTATTTTCCAATCATATATATATATATATATATATATATATATATATATATATATTCCCTTTTCGGAGGTCCTCTCAAAAAAGATAATTTATTCCATACTGATAATTTTATTTTTGGCAGTTAAAAGAGATAATTTATTCAACAAAATTAACTCTTTTTTTTAGTCTTGTCAAAAGAGGTAACTATTAATTTTTTTTTTTGATTTTTTATTGGTTCCGTCAAAAGAAATAATTTATTCAATAGAGGTATATATATTTTTTAATCCTCTTTTTTCGTACTTTTTTGTTTTGATCTTGACAAAAGAAATAATTTTTTCAATAAATATATATATATAAGATAATTTTTTTTAAGGTTACTTTTTTTTGGTCCGGTCAAAAAAGAATTTATTCAACATAATATTTTTTTCTCGGTCTTCGAAACAAAATATTATACAATTTTTTTTTTATCTTGCCAAAAGAAACCTAAAATTTTAAAGATTAGAAATAAGGGGAGAAAATTTGAAAGGACAGTTGTGTCATTTAAAAAGTAATGATCATTTATTTGTAAAGTTAATGATATAATTGTCATTTCATATAAGATTGTAGTGCAAACGTAAAAAAGTGGAGTGCGGATAGCATCACCCTTAATATATTATCATTTTTGTTTTTCACTACCATAATTTTGTTTTTTGGTAAGTAAACAAAAATTCCGATTAGTTCCATAGGTGAAGCGATTTCTATTTTTATTTGTTTGGTACTTACCTTTTATTATTGTAATTAGTGGTATTAGTAAATATTAAATTTAGAAACTAGAAATAATGATGGTGGTTTTGTATTAAAAGGAAATCATATTGATGGGTTTGGAATGTAACCATTAGATTTAATCTAATGATCACTATAAAAAATGCAGAATTTTTTTTTTTTTCTACGAGGAGCAAGAGATCATTACTCTTTCTCTCTATATATATTTTGCTATACCAAAAGAATATGAATCTTGGAAAACAATATGTTAACCTATGCTTCAAAAATATTAATAAATACTAATACTAATACTAATAATTTAGTATGAAATAATATTAGTGAAGTCTAAGTGGGTGAGGGGAGTGTCAACTAGTTTTTTAATTGTGTTAGGTAATTATTTTTTATTTTTTTAAAAAATTAGGGAATAAGAAGATTTTGTATTAGACATCTAGTATAGAAAATAGAATTAGAAAGGAATACTTCATCGGGCATAAGAAGAGTTTGTGTTAAATACGAAATTTTATAAAGTGAGAAAAAAAAAATGGAAAAAGAAAAAAAGAAGTCTAATAGAATTAAAAACCAACTGCATATAGATAAGTATTTTAAAGACTATAATTTTAACATTCCTGGAGTCCTCTACTTCCATTCATAACCAACCCTATCTCCAACTGCTAGTTTATCCACCTCCCCTCTGATTGAAGCAAGGGAGTGTCAAAAGACATCTTGGCCCCTAAGTTTTAGTAAGTTGACCTGTTTTCAACCTAACTCAACTCAACAAATGTTGGCTAACCTTTGATGATTGACTCCACATTTGGGTAAAGACGGTCAATTTACCATCTTGTGTGGTAACAGATGAGAGTCGTAGATGACCATCCCTTGAAGTTTCCGAATTTTGGATTAATACCCAGAACTCTCCAACTCTGATAATGACCAATTTTCCTCCTCCTAGTCTTCCCTTCCTGTTGTTTTGTTGAACAAGTCCGTCAACTATATGCTGTTGACCGTTGATCTAACTTGTATCCAAGCAATCTAATGCTCGAAGTATAGATCTTTATAAGTACCCATTTGGGAATTTAATGTTTTTCCTTCTGGGTATCTACTAGTTTGATCAATTATTGTTCTCATCCTCACATCAGATGCCGGAAAAACCCTAGTTTCTTGAGGTTTTTGTTGATGGGTTTTCGTATTGTAACTCTACAAGTTTGATTTTCTACATCTGATTTAAGTTTGCAGCAACAGAGAGTTTGGTTTTCAGTTCATGGGTCATGTTCGGAAGCTTCGGATGCTTCAATCGCACTCTGGAGATCAGTTTGGAGGTTTTTAACACTTACCCTCTTACTGATTTACTCTGTTTTCAACTGGGCAGGTGCAGTTTTTAGATGTTTAACTCTGAACTATATCAAGTTAGGATTTTTCTTATTTGGAGAAATAGTGGGTTTTCTTTTTTGAACTCTGAAGCTGTGGATGCAATAACTGTAACTTCCATGAAATGTTTTTGATTGTTTGTATGTTCTAACATTTATGGCTTCACACAAGAAACCGCGATTCAAAGATGGGGCTTTTCGCCGGTTTCTGTCTCTAGTTTTGATTACTTTGTTAGGGGTTAGTCTGCTGCTTTTTCTCCTTAAAACGAATCCAATTTCACATATAGTGACACGATATGCAATTGAAATTGATCAAAGTCTTGGATCGGTTGATGACTTCTCAAGGGGAGAACTAAACCTCCCCAAACAGAATGAATTGTCGATTTTATTGGAAAAACGAAACGAATTGCCACCAAGAAACTTGGATTTATTTCCGAAGTTAGCAAAGGATCATATAACAATTGTTCTATATGTTCACAATCGGCCCCAATATCTCCAAGTAGTTGTTAATACCCTTTCTAAAGTAGTGGGGATTAGTGAAACTCTGCTCATAGTTAGTCACGATGGATACTTCAAAGAGATGAACAAGATTGTGGAAAGTATTAGATTCTGTCAAGTGAAACAAATATTTGCCCCGTACTCTCCCCATGTCTTTCCCAGTGGCTTTCCTGGTGTGTCACCAACAGACTGCAAGGAGAAAGATGATCCTATTAGACAACATTGTAAAGGGAACCCTGATCAGTATGGGAATCACCGGTCGCCAAAGATTGTGTCATTAAAGCATCACTGGTGGTGGATGATGAACACAGTGTGGGATGGTTTGAAAGAGACTCGTCAGCACTCAGGTCATATTCTTTTCATAGAGGAGGACCACTTTATATTTCCCAATGCTTATCGTAACTTACAGATGCTTACAGCCTTGAAGCCAAAAAAATGTCCTAGTTGTTATGCTGTGAATCTAGCACCGTGTGATGTGAATTCAAGGGGAGAAGGTTCGGACTGCTTGATTGCGGAGAGAATGGGTAATGTAGGTTATGCCTTTAATCGTACTGTTTGGAGGAAGATACATAAGAAGGCAAGGGAATTTTGTTTCTTTGATGAATACAACTGGGATATAACAATGTGGGCAACAGTTTATCCTTCTTTTGGTGGTGCTGTGTATACTTTACGAGGGCCTAGGACTAGTGCTGTTCACTTTGGAAAATGTGGCTTGCATCAAGGCCAAGGGACGACAGTTTCTTGCATTGACAATGGCGTGGTGAACATTCAAGTAGAAGATATTGATAAGACTGGCAATATCAATTCAAATTGGGGAGTGCACGTGTATAAGCATCAAGCAGGGTATCAAGCTGGATTCAGGGGTTGGGGTGGCTGGGGAGATTTAAGGGACCGCAAGCTGTGCTTGGAATTTGCTAAGATGTATCACTTCAGAAACCCGTCATCTTCTTCCTGAAGAGTTGTTTCTCGCATTTTGGGTTTCCCAACTGTTGTAACCTGTGAGGTATACATTTGTGTTGTTGAGTTATTTGAAGAACATAAATTACATTTTTGTCAACGATATTCTTCATAATCATTTTACCATGTTTCTCAAATGGAATCATAGTATCTTTTAATTAATTGGGTGGTCGGCCTTTTGGTAATTTTTTTTAATCCCAGCATATGGATTTCTTCTTGTTATAGTGGGCAAAGAGCTCCCGTGCACTCATATAGTTACTAATAATTTCTTCTGCATTGATCTAATGTAATACTATTTCTCCTATTGCATGCGTGTTTTTGTGGTGCTGAAACCTATATTTGTTTTAACTATTGTTCTGGTGGTTCAATATATTGTCTTTCTTCCTCAGCTCATAATTTCCTCAGCTCATAATTTCCTTTTTTCATAAATTTCCTCAGCTCATAATTTCCTTTTTTCATAAATTTCCTCAGCTCATAATTTCACATAAGCAATTGGGATTGAGATTGAAAGTTGGCCTTGGTATGGGCTCCTGGTGGAATAAAATATCAAAGCTTCAATGCTTCATCCATAATTAGTTAAAAGTTAAGTTACTAATTTTGAGGGAAGAGATGATCTGCATCTAATTGTTCGATAATAAAATTGGAATGATTAAGATTTCATTTGGAAGGTGACTAAATAAGATTTTAGTGTTATGCCAGCAAATACACATAAGGAGATATTAATGCTGTTAAAATTCATGGAATCGAACTTAAAATCATTCTTTGGAACTTTGGGGTGATTCACTGATAATGTTTCTGCATTTGGCTCTTTATGGGTTGCCTGCAATGAGGTGTCAATCTTTTCTCTTCTCTTTTTATTTTCCCCATATTATGTCATTATTTTATGGTGTTTTGTGTGCTTTAAGGAGCATGATTTTGTTAGTTCCTTTTCTTGCATGCTTGCATGGTTTTCTTTAATTTTATTTTGTTTTTTGCATGCCTTGGGTCAAGGTATATATCATTCTTCTTCTCTCCTTTGCATGCTTGGTGGCGTGTATATGCTACATGTTATCTATTGCTTTAGTGAATGTAGGATGGTTTGTGTCCAGTCCTATATATAGGATGGCAGTCATTGTGCTTTGGCTTACAAGCAGAGGTCCACCATTGATGAGGGCCTGAGGCGAAGTGTAGGCTTAAGATAATTCATCTTTCTCATCTTGTACCATGACCGTCAGTTCTTAGACAATGACAGGCTGGCCTTTCCATTCTAAAACTAAGTGGTGACTCTGTAGCTAAAGTGGAAATTTCCCAAGTTATGTGGCTTTATCGGTCCCCTAGGTTAGTGATTACTCGTTTTCTTGATATGTTCCAAATTAAAGAAGTTTGTGATCAGGAATTCTTGTCCCATGATTAGCAATTTAGCATCCCTATCCTAGTCAAAAGATGATGAAATTTTAACTCGGGTCAGTTGGCTAAGTGGGGATAGGCCTCTACAGAGTAACTGCTTTTCAGCTTTTCCAACCATGCCTATTCTTGTAAAAAAAATTTGTTGGAAAAATTAGAGCTTGATGGAGAAAAATATGCTTATGGTAATGTGCAACTTAGAAGGAAAAAAGGAGAGTGAGAGGAGTGAGATTGTCGAAGTGATTATGAAAAAATTCAATGCTGTGAATCTTTTTCTATGATAACGTTTATTATGCCATTGCCAAGGGAAGAAGTGCCGAGTTTATGTATTGTCTGTGACATGTGTTGGGGGGGCGGTGTGGGTGGGTGGTTATTAAAAAATACTATGATAAGTTATACCTCCTGGAGTCCCGTTTTAAGTACGATGGTAGACAATCTTTTTCGTATTTGATCACTTTAGGCTCTTTGCAAAATGCAAATTATTTTCTAAGAAAAATTTAGCTTGCGACATTAGATTTGACGTGGTTTATGATTGGGAGTGGTGTGTCCTTAACCCTAGCTTTTGGTTTCCATTCAAACTCACTAAAGCTCTTCTAGTTCGTAAAAAGGAAATTAAATGCACGGTTATTGTGGCGCCCTAGTAACAATTTTGGGATGTTATTTTAGCTTCTTGTACTGTATAAGTTCTGCATACGAAAATTTTAAGAGATGTTGGAAGCAGGTTTGACACTAGCATCTGTTTGTTAATGTCACTTATCTGGCCCTGCTCCAAAAAAGCTAATAAGATAGATGATGTCAAGTGGACTTGCACGCTTGGAAAAATAGGTTGATGTCTGTGTTGACCAGATATAGAAATGAAAAAGCTTTTATATCTTTTGGTGGCATTAGCACATATATAATTAAGTTCACTATAAGAGCTTGATTGCTGTATTGGAAAGTTAGTGTAGTGTTGGAGAGGGAGAGAGACTATGAAAGAAGAAAGGAGACGAGGACCGTTGAAGTTCAACAAGACAGGTTGCTGCCAACCTACTGGGAGTGAAACAGTTGCACTAATTAGTTGCTTGGTGCCAAGATAGGTCATATCTAAGAGATACGGAAGATATTCGTCTTCGCAATGTCCCTTCTTTTTTTAGCCATGTTCTAGTTGAACATTGGTAAAGATATTTTGTTGGGTTTTTTTGCATGTAAATTTTACTGGATGTGGAAAAGAGAGACTCCTATAAACTTGTAAGAGGAAGCTTATATAAACACATCGCCATTGCATTTTGATATTTCATTGGAAATTGGATAATGTTGTTGTTGTATTTTGCTTTGAGGTGAACCTGGTTTATTTAGTTGTGAAATGAAGCTATCAACCTATACCTTTGCACTTGGGGGATCAGTTTTCTGCTCGAATGAGATGTTTTCCATTTTCCTTCGTGGCTCCAATTTCGGCAAGTTCTGCATTCTAGGTCATTGAAATGTGCTTTGACTGCTTACGTAATGAATCGTGCGAGTTCATTACGGAAAATACAATATCGAAATGTGCTTTTGGGAGAACCGAATTGGAGATTTGGTATTAGAATTAGAGAAAATTTAGTTTAAAGTTTGATATATAAATCTCCTCTAATTTCAATTTTAAGGCACCGTGGTCTTCCCAAATTTAATATGAACATTTGAGAGATTTCAAGGCATGTATTTTGCCCCAAATGTGCAAAGTATTTTGTCCTTGATTTGAATGGTGTATGTGTTGTGAGATTGATATACGTGCTCTAAAGAAAAAGAAAAAAAAAAATTATATATATATATATATATTACTCTAATACAAGATTTACACTTCTAAGTGGTAGAAGCATCTTTTCAAATGATTATTAATATCTTTTCCTTCTTGGTAAGGTTTCAACTCATAACTAATCATCAGGGGAAAAATATATATATATATTGGTTACTCACACACACACATGCTTCTACTGAGGCTCGAATTCTTGATCTCTCTTTGAGAGATAGGAACTTAGTACCGCTAAGTCACTGACTTGTTGATATCATCAATTATCTTTTATAGAGCATATAGTTTAGTGAATTCTTTTAAGAATTTTAAGAGCTATACTGGCCTATAAAATCAAGTTTGTGTAACTCAATATTCAGAAAAACCACTTTCAAAAAAAAAAATTGAATTTGGAATTATTTTTATGTTTCGGTTTTCTGAAAACAAAAGTGTAGTAACATTTTTGTTTTTTCTTTTTGCACTCTCAAGAAAGTAAGAACATGATTTTTACTTATTTGGTAGAAAGTAAAAATGACATTTATTTGCTACAATTTTGAAAATTGAAAATAATAACAGTGTTTAGTAATACATATTTGTTACCCGATGATGTACATAATATTTTTTAAAAAATTTATTCTATTTTTAAAATTTTCGTTAATGCCATAAAACCTTAAAATATGACGAACGTATGCAATTCAATTATTTCACACCTGATAATAAAATATAATATTTAATTTAAAATTACAAATCTTAATAATAAGACAAGAATTTTGTCACCAATTATATATGTGTATGTATATATATACATGTATATACATTATGTATAACATTATCATGTTATCATATAATATATTAAACATATAATATATTATAACAAATCAAAAATGTTAAATAATATCTCTTATATGTAATAAAATATATAATGTATTATAAAATTATAAATTAATTATAATATAAAATTTACATATAATATACAATATAGATCTGGTATATAATATTATAAAATATCTATTCCATAATAATTTATCAATATTATATAAAATAAAAAATATATAAAATAAATCATAAATATTTTTGTCTCAAAAAAAACTTACAGTATTATATAATATATTATATATTAAAAATATATTTTAATTAAATAAAAATAAATAATTTACATTATTATATAATATATTATATCTTAAAAATATATATATTTTATTACTATTTAATATGTAGCAGTATTATTATATAACATGAATAATATGAATTTTGTTTGAAATCAACGTGCCTGTGTAATCATGGTAGGGAAAATAAATGTATTTGCACTACAATGCTGAAAACATAAAAAACATTAATATTATTTTACTTTTAAACATTAAGTAGATTTTCATATTTTTTCTTTCAGAATACATGTCTTTCTCCTTTACGAACTAACTTGTACATTTCTAGTAAAGGGATTTGAATTCAACCAAAAGAGATAAGGACCAAAACAAATTTTCTGTTCAATTATGTGATTTTTACTTTTTTAACAAAAATAAAAAACATTTTCCACTATAAAAAATAAAACATAGTATTAAACATACATATATTTTAATAATATAACATGAATAATATGAATTTTGTTTGAAATAAATGTACCCACTGAAAATGTTTTTGGACTTGATACTGAAATCATCAGAAACATCAATATCATTATACTTTTTAACATTAAGTAGGTTTTCATACTTTCTCATTCAAAATACATGCCTTTCTCCTTTTTAAAACTAACTCGTACATTTTTTGATAAATGAAATTTAATTCAACTAAAAGAGAAAGTGACCAAGACAACATTTTTGTGCAATTACCTGATTTTTTTTTTACAAAAAATGAAAAACATCTTTTTTTTTGTTTTTGTTTTGTCTTTTTCAAAGAGAAAACAAGAAACATTGTTTGACGTTATTGAACGAATCCAAAAATAGACATGTTTTTATGTTTTCACTTTTTTTTTGGGTAAATATTTTATGTTTTCACTCTTCATTCTCTCAATTCACATAAAAAGGGAAATTGAAACCCGACTTTTGCCTACACCCAATACTGTCCGGTTTTGAAAACCGAAAAACGGCGCGAAAAGGAAATAAGAAGAAGGCATGAATCAAACTTCTCCTTCTTCAACCAACCAATGTTTCGCGGTAACCTGATTTCAACACACAGACGAATTTCCTATCACAAGAACTCTGCTTTCAGTATATTCACTGCCCCACTTGTTCCCTCACAGGACCCTCTTCTCTTCAACCCACAAGTTCCTAATCATTCTATCCAACAATTGCCTCATTTGAACTCATTGCAAAACCTGGGTGATCGATACAAGAACTCTCTGTCCCAATTCTCCTCATCAATTCCACCCCAAAAATCCATTCATGTTTTGCCATGGAGTTCGGAAATATACGAATTTCTCGTCCGCCAATGTCAGTTTTCTTGTTGCCCTGAGGATGCTAAACAGCTTCATTTACAAATTATTAAAATTGGGTTTGTGGGTGATTTGTATTTATCGAATACACTTATTAATTTATATGTTAGAACGGGTGATATGGTTTCTGCACGTAATTTGTTCGACGAAATGCTTACTAGGAATTCTGTTACTTGGTCTTGTTTGATCTCGGGTTATACCCAAAATGACATGGCCAATGAGGCATGTGCTCTTTTCCGGGAAATGATCTGTGCGGGGTATTTTCATAGTCATTATTCTATTTGTAGTGCTCTACGAGCTTGCCAGGTGTCAGGACCTTGTGGGCTTAAATTTGGATTGCAAATTCATGGTTTAATTTCGAAAACCTGGTATGCGTTTGATGTAGTGGTTTGTAACGTATTGATTTCAATGTATTGGAAATGTATGGACTCTGCTGATCATGCTTGTCGTGTTTTTAATGGGATACGGATGAAAAACTCTATATCGTGGAATTCTATTATTTCAGTTTATTCTCAGAGAGGTGATGCAAATTCTGCTTTTGAGCTGTTCTCTAACATGCAAAAGGAGGGCATGGGATTTAGTTTCAAACCTAGTGAATATACTTTTGGCAGCTTAATAACTGCAGCTTGTTCTTCTATTGATTCTGGTCTGTGTCTGCTTAAGCAGTTGCTTGCCAAAATTAAAAAATCAGGTTTCCTACAAGACCTGTATGTGGGCAGTGCTTTGGTAAGTGGGTGTGCAAAGTTTGGTTTTCTTGATGGTGCTAAGAAGATTTTTGAGCAAATGAGTGACAGGAATGCGGTGTCCATGAACGGATTGATGGTTGGTTTGGTGAGGCAAAAGCAGGGAGTAGAAGCAGCTGAGATTTTTATGGAGATGAAAGACTTGATTAGCATAAACTCTGATTCTTATGTGATTCTTTTGAGTGCTATTGCTGATTTTTGTGTGTTGGAAGAAGGGAGAAGAAAAGGTAGAGAGGTTCATGCTCATGTTATCCGAACTGGCATAAGTAATTCCGTGGTTGCAGTTGGAAATGGGCTAGTAAATATGTATTCTAAATGTGCTGCAATTAAAGATGCTTGTTCTGTTTTCAGACTCATGGTTGATAAGGATTCGGTTTCCTGGAACTCCATGATCTCTGGTCTTGACCAGAATGAGTGTTATGAAGATGCAGTCATGAGCTTCCGAACAATGAGGAGAAGTGGATTAATCTCTTCAAATTTCACGTTGATCAGTGCTTTGAGCTCATGTGCAAGCTTGGGCTGGGTAAGGCTGGGAAAACAATTACATTGTGAAGGGTTTAAATTGGGACTTGATTTGGACGTTTCGGTTTCAAATGCTCTTCTTGCACTATATGCAGAGACAGGGTATATCACTGAATCTCAAGAAGTGTTCTTCTTGATGCCGAAGTACGATCAAGTTTCATGGAATTCTATTATTGGGGCACTTGCCGATTCGGAGGCATCTGTTTCCAAAGCTGTAAGTTATTTCTTAGAGATGATGCGACATGGATGGAGTCTTAACAGAGTCACTTTTATCAACATTCTTGCAGCAGTCTCATCTCTTTCACTTCTTGAACTGGGCCATCAGATTCATGCTTTAGCTCTAAAATACCGTCTCATGGATGACAGTGCTATTGAGAATGCACTTCTTTCTTGCTATGGGAAGTGCGGAAAGATGGATGACTGTGAGAAAATCTTTGCTAGAATGTCTGATAGGAGGGATGATGTGAGTTGGAATTCCATGATTTCTGGATATATACATAATGAGTTATTACCCCAGGCCATGGATATTGTGTGGCTTATGTTGCAGCAGGGTCAGAGATTAGACTGCTTCACATTTGCTACTGTTCTTAGTGCATGTGCCTCAGTTGCAACATTGGAGCGTGGCATGGAAGTTCATGGTTGTGGTACTAGAGCTTGTTTGGAGTCCGATGTCGTGGTTGGGAGTGCACTTGTTGACATGTATTCCAAATGCGGAAGAATAGATTATGCTTCAAGGTTTTTTGGGCTGATGCCCACGAGGAATGTATATTCTTGGAATTCAATGATATCTGGTTATGCACGACATGGACATGGAGAGAAAGCTCTAGAAATTTTTAAGAAAATGAAGCTAGAGGGTCAAACTCCGGATCATGTCACCTTTGTTGGTGTCTTATCAGCTTGTAGCCACGCGGGGTTTGTTGAACAAGGTTTTCAGCATTTTCATTCCATGAGCAAAAGTTTTGGGTTGTCCCCTCGCATGGAGCACTTCTCATGTATGGCGGATCTCCTTGGGCGGGCGGGTGAACTTGATAAGTTGGAGGACTTCATCAATAGAATGCCGATGAACCCTAGTGTTCTTATTTGGAGGACAGTTCTAGGGGCTTGCTGTCGAGTAAATGTTCGGAAAACAGATTTAGGTAGGAGGGCTGCTGAAATGCTTTTGGAGTTGGAACCTCAAAATGCAGTGAACTATGTTCTCCTTTCTAATATGTATGCCTCTGGGGGGAAGTGGGAAGATATGGCGAAAGCGAGGGCTGCAATGAGGGAAGCAGCAGTGAAGAAGGAAACTGGGTGTAGTTGGGTCACCATGATGGATGGTGTTCATACCTTTGTAGCTGGAGACAAATCACATCCAGATAATGAGGCTATCTACGAAAAGCTTAGGGAACTGCACAGAAAAATGAGGGATGCCGGATATGTGCCTCAGACAAAATTTGCCCTATATGATCTTGAACTAGAGAACAAGGAAGAACTCCTGAGCTATCACAGTGAGAAACTTGCAATTGCATTTGTTCTCACTCGCAAATCATCATTGCCTATAAGAATAATGAAAAATCTGAGAGTTTGTGGGGACTGTCACTCTGCCTTTAAATATATCTCAAAGATTGTGGGTCGACAAATAGTATTACGAGATTCAAACCGATTCCATCATTTTGTTGATGGTAAGTGTTCATGTGGAGATTACTGGTGATTGAACCAGCACTGCTATTTTAGAAGGCAGACGTGTTTACGAGTGGAATAGATTCGGCATACAACTTCTTACATACGCTGAAAGAATTAGATGGTGGTAGGAACTAGGAACTGAGCCATGGGTTTATCCTTCCCCTAATTTAGTATTACGAGGACTTGGGCAAGACTAGCTGAGATCAAGCATCTTGGAAAGAAAATTACTTTGTGCTGACAGATTTGTACTGACCCTATCTCGGACTAATTTATGGAATGTGCATGAATTGGAAAACGTTGACATGGAAGGGCAGCGAGACAAGAAGAGACAAATGAAACACATTATTGGGAATGCTACAGAAGCACTGAGAATACAGGATCAGAGAAGCTTGTCAAAGATGGTCTATGCCTTCTGCAACAAAGATCAGTAGCTGCACCAAGAAGGAATGATTCAATTTTATTTTAAAGGCGCTTCCAAACTTCCAAAGGCTGGGGAAAGGTCAGAGGAATTTTTGTTCAGATTGCGAGAAAAGACATTGACCCGTTGTCATGTTAGAAAACATTTGGCAGATGGAACAGAATTGTGAAAAAGAAGTGTAACCGGAACACTGAACAAGGCTCCACTGAGTTGAGTTTGTTTGTCCAGCATATATGGAAACTGTCATGGGGTAGCCTATAACAACTTTTCTGATGTTATTTATTTTAGTATCATGTCACACCTTGAGCTGATATAGGAAGTGTAAATGACATCGATTTGCCATATATTTTGAAGCATGTATCACTATATATATATAATATTTCAAGAAATAGTCTTGGACTAATCTTTGACATGGTGATACATATATTTTCTTGGTCAAATATCAAGCCATTCACTTCTTAGCTTCCCTGATAGACGTGTTCAGACTTAATTATCTAATGAAGTTAAATAACTGTTTTTAAAAATATCATGATGATGAAGATGTTCACACACAGTTTTGTATAGAGGTTTCAGGTTTCAAACCATCAGTTGGATTTTTATCCTTGTCCATGTGTCTTTGGTACAGGCTGGGTCAATTACTAAAATGCCCCTCTTCGTAGTTGGCACATTCCTCCGATGTGTGGCCGCAGTTATTGTTCCAACTTGTAAAAGCGTATCTATTGTTGTTGTTGTGCGTTAAAACAGCTGTATGATCGGTGGTTTGACGTGTCAGCCCACTAATACCGTCAATGACTTCGTTTTTCACTTTTGATGAATTTTCTAGGATGCTTTCGAGGTTGAAGAAGCTTTTAGATGATTCTTGTTTTACGTTAGATTTTGATGTGGAGGGTTTTGGGCTCATTAAGGCGAATAGGGAGAGTCACCTAGCCTCTTTAACTCCAGCTCCTCTCACATTTGATTTCGGACCAAAACCATTTCTCTTCTCATTGGGCTCTTATTGTTAGTATTAAAACGGTCAATTTTATTATAACCACCACTTTGTAATTTTATTCTGTTGTATGATGGCTTCGCTTTTATTGTTAGTCTAGAATTGTTCAGCCTACAACAAACATTACTTTGTACTTTTATTCGGTCGAGCATACAACAAACATTACTTTGTGTTTTTATTCGGTCGAGAACACGACGAAAAAAGTTACACTTGGTGTTCCCTCTTATTACTAGTATTAAAACTGTCAAGTATAGGACAATTATCACTTTCTACTTTTATTATGTAGAGTATACAGCAAAATAGGTTGCTTTTGATGTCTCGCCCTTACCATTAGCATTAAAATTGTCGAGCGTAACTAATGGGCCAATGGCTTAATAGTATCAGTTTTTTACTTCCCAAAAAGGCGATAGGGGTTCAAGTTTCATAAGAGACAAATTTGTGTGAGTACCAATTAGAAAAAAAAAAAAAAAAAGATGTCGACAAACATCACTTTGTTTTTTTATTCTGTCGAACATATGATAAAAAAAGGTTACTTTTGGATAGTCTCGCTTTCACTATTAGCATTAAAACCATGGAGCATACGAAAAACATCACTTTGTACTTTTATTTTCTCGAACATACAATAAAAAACGTTACTCTTGGTGGTCTATCTTTAAGTCACATAATGCGGGTGCGAGAGTGGGAGCGAGAGCGTGAGAGTGGCAAAGTCCAAAATTAGTTGAGAGCGTATGCGTCTTGAGAGCGCCTGTATATTATATATTTTATGTTTGTGTACATATAATTATTTTATTTGAAACATGATTATATTAATTTATAAAATATTTTTTATTACTACATTTATTTTAATTATATATTTTTGATATTGTATCTACAAATATATTATTGTGCAGTAAACATTAATATATAAAGCAAAACAATTTTGAATATATAAGGAAATAATTTATTGAAAAAGAGAGGACTGGCCCAAAGGCATTCTTAGCTTAATGTCACGAAGTGATTCCTAAGACGCTTGGAGGATGGAAGACATGCATGCTGGTTGGCAAAGAGTAGAATTTGACTGGGAATGGTTCCAGGGAAGGGGCGTGCAGAAGCACAGGATGGTACCTCTTCATAGTTCAGGCAGGTTGACTAGGTTCAGTGCGAGGTGCTTGTCGCTGGTCGTGAACTTGATTATGAAGAAGGGAGTTGGCCATCCCTGCACAAACTGGTTGGGAGCTGGAGCGGTTCCCCTGATGAGACCAAAGCAGGTCGAAACCAGTCAGCATATATCATTGGGAGGGCAAGTCGTGGTAGCTGACTAGGGCGCTTGCGCGAGCTGAAGAAATGCCTTGGTTCCGCACGAGTCGTGCCGCTGCGCCAAATCTCTAGGCCCGTGACACTAAGCTATGAAAAAGTCCATCTTAGACAGGCCCAAAGGCATAGGAATAAGATAAACAAGCCCATTGGGTGAAAAAGGAAAGAAAATCCTAATAATCCCTAGATCAAAATTATCTGCAATAGAGATGAGCTCTAAAATGGTAACTGAGTACCTCACCCTTCGCAGTGCTTGTAGCCATTCAGTCCAGAGGTCGCGGTGGTGGTTTTCGGCCGGTCGAAAGACTCTATTCTACTAGAGCAACTATTGATTCGATTCTGGTACGCCAAGCCTTCGATTGCAAGTGTCTCATAGATATATGCCGATTTGTTTTGGGTTGCTGAGCAAGAGATGAAGTTTCTCCAATCTGATGAGTTGATCATGGTTGCATCATCCATTTTAATATATTATATGATTAGCCAAAGCATAGAAAGCATGCATGAAATAACACGTGGCAGCCATATGGACATAAATCGTTTAAATCCGCGTACTCAAAATCAGTTCGCAAATTCAAAATTTCAATTCGCGAATTCTCGAAATGGAATTCGCAAATTTTTGCCGTATTCGCGCTCAAATCGACAAAACGCGAGGGGAGCAAAAATTCGCACCCCACTTCCGGGAATCATGTGACTTAGGTCTCTCTCTCTCTTTGTATTACCATTAAAACTAAGAAACAACAAGTATTGCATTGTACTTTTATTCTACTTTAAAATATAACAAAAAAATAACATTTGTTAATTGAATCTTATAGTACACTTAATAAATGTTTCATCTATTATCGTCAATAAAAAATTTCTACTATTAAAGGCACTAAAATTGCACGATAAACATCACTTTGTATGTTTATTCTGTTAAGCATACGACAAAAAAGTGTTACTCTTGGTGGTATCGCTCTTATTATTAGCATTAAAACTGTTGTGCATAAGACAAATATCACTTTGTATTTTTATTCTCTAGAGCATATGAAAAAAATAAGTTATTTTTGATGGTCTCGCTTTTATTATTAGCATTAAAACTGTCAAGTATACGATAAACATCACTTAGTGCTTTTATTCAGTTGAGCATAAGTTAAATATCACTTTCAGTATGTAGAATATTACTTGTTAATTATATTTTATAATACACTTAATAAATGTTTCACTTATTAATGGCACTAAAATTGCAACAAAATTGCAAAAAATAATTTTGTACACTTACTCTACCCTGAAATATACAAAATAATTATTATTTCTTCATTAAATCTTATAATAGAATTAATAAATGTTTCACGTGTTACTGTCAATTTTAAAAACTCTTACTATTATCTATCACCACCATATTTTAACAAAATAATTGATATTTTTTACTAATAATGCTTTATTGTAATGTTATAATAGATTATAAAACTATGCCACAAACGACTCCCATTATCAGCATTAAACTGAGAAATATCATTTTTTACTTTTATTTTGTCAAGCGAACTACAAAAAATATTACTCTTGATACTATCGCTCTTATAATCAACATTAAAACTGTTGCGCATATGACAAATATCACTTTTAATATGTAAAATATTATTTCTTAATTATATTTTGAAATACACTTAATAAATGATTCACCTAATAATGACACTAAAACTGCATCAAAATTGCATAGTATACAACGAAAAACATTTTGTACACTTACTCTACCCTAAATTATACGAAATAATTACTATTTCTTAATTAAATCTTATCACAGAATTAATAAATGTTTCACGTGTTACCGTCAATTTTTAAAACTCTTACTATTATCAATCACCACCATATTTTAACAAAATAATCGATATTTTTTACTAATAATGCTTTATTGTAATGTTATAATAGATTATAAAACTATACTACAAATGACAACTTGCGACAACCAACAACTGTGGGTAAAACCCGCAGCTCGCTGGAATCGGACCGAGTGAGGGAGGCTCTGCCTCTTTAAACGATGACACCGGATGTAATGTTGGTAGAGATAACATTAGTTTAGGGTTCATAGACTACAATTATCTTGGTCAACTGTGGGCTGGGCTTGGTTTTCCCTTCTGTTTTGGGCAGGACTCTTTGATGAGTCCTTTGTTTTGTTGTTTTGGGCCTCGGCCTTGTACATTTTACACTCAATTTATACAATACCTTAACTTCTGAAGAAAAAAAAAAAACTTTAGAATTTTCCTTAATTAGATAGTCCAAACTCTTTTTCTCTCTATCTATAGTACTACAGTTAGTTCTATGATTGATAAGTCTAACTTGTCTCATTTCGTATTTACAATTATTTTAAAATATTATTTCATATTTAAGTTAAAAAGGAAAGGTCTATTTTTTTTTTTTTTTTCCAAAGTTTTGTTTTTAACCTACAATATATATATACTCCCTCTGCCCCAAAATAAGTGACTCTTTTTGGGAATCTAACTTTTTAATAGAATGATTATTATTATTTTTTTATTATATAAGTAGTGAATGAATTATCAAATTTATCCTTAGTGGGTCCACAGTGATGTAATGTGTGACGGCCCAAATTTTATAAACCCAGTGCGTCAATGATGACCAAAAGATGACCCGATAACGGATCCGAAATGCGGAAGCAAAAGATGATCAAAAAGAAAAAAGAAAAGAAAGGTTCTGAACACCAGTTTAGCACTTATCAACACTGAGCACCCATTCGGCACTTATACAAGATCGGTCGTTCTGACTTACATGGTCAGGCGTTTTGACGTTCTAACCTATATGGTTAAGCGTTCTGACGTTCTGACCTACATGGTCAAGCGTTCTGACAAAAGGTCTAAGCGTTCTGCCAAAAGGTTCAAGCGTTCAGACGTTCTGACCTACATGGTCAGGCGTTCTAACAAAATGTTCAAACGTTCAGACGTTTTGACCTACATGGTCAGGCGTTTTGACAAAAGGTTCAAGCGTTATGCCAAAAGGTTCAAGCGTTAAGATGTTCTGACCTACATAGTCAGGCGTTTTGACAAAAGGTTCAAGCGTTAAGATGTTCTGACCTACATGGCCAGGCGTTCTGACAAAAGGTTTAAGCGTTTTGCCAAAAGGTTTAAGCGTTTAGACGTTCTGACCTACATGGTTAGACGTTTTGACAAAAGGTTCAAGGGTGACATTCTGACGTTCTGACTGTAAAACGACGAAACAGTAAGCAAGTTTAAGGCAACCTTAAGGCTATACATGCATTCCAAATGATCCAAAACAAGTTTAAAAACATACTTGTGAAATTTTAAAACCAATGGCTCTTGGCCTCATGTTATACATATAAAACATGCAACAAAAAGTGTACTTAGATACACATTACATATCAAGGAAGCCATCTTAGCTTCTAAAATACCATACATCCATGGTATGCAAAAATATAATATCAAAAGTTAGCATGCTAAACATTTGCATGTCAATACACAAAAATATTTTAAAGTGCTTATAAGCCTCTAAGGATGATGAGCACTGTCTCTTTACCTCTAAAATAACCCAAATAATTAGGGTGAGTAATTAAGTTACTCGTAGGAAGAAATATATGCGTATACCCTAAAGTTTCAATATCATTGCAAGATCAATATAAACGAATACAAGGGATCATTCCACTTAACGTCTATGTTCAAGGTGTTATAATGGATCATCTTAAATTAACATAAATGATTCTTTAACAACACAACATCAATATGGATGTACTTAACAACATCAAATCGCCAATAACCAAAATTACAAGTCACAATTAAGCATTGATTGTCAACTTGGAATTGAATGCGAAACCAAATAGTGAAAAACTTGGATATCAAATCCTGGAGTAAACCAAGACCTAAACGGTTATTCCATGCATGAACCTGCTGGGATTACTACCCTAGTGCGCACTATACAAATGGGGAAAACTCATACTGTGATGACCTTGTGGGCGGGTGTGCCGTGAGCGGGTGCGAGAGACACTGTCAGGCTACCACACTGGCGAGCTACAGGTACACAGTCCCACATCGCCTGGGTAGAGGAAAGGTGAATTGCTTATATGTAAGTGTGTCATCTCCAATTGGTATGAGGCATTTTGGGGTGAAGCCCAAGAGCAAAACCGTGCGAGCTCAGACCCAAAGCGGAAAATATCATACCATATGGTGGAGTGGGTCGTTACAAATGGTATCAGAGCCTGACCCAGCCGAAAGTGTGCCGACGGAGACGTCGGGCGTCCAAGGGGGGTGGATTGTGATGACCTTGTGGGCAAATGTGCCGTGGGCAGGTGCGAGAGACACTGTCAAGCTACCACACTAGCGAGCTACGGGTGCACAAGTCCCACATCGCCTGGGTAGAGGAAAGGTGAAGTGCTTATATATGGTGGTGTCACTATAATTGGTGTGAGGCCTTTTGGGGTGAAGCCCAAGAGCAAAACCGTGCAGGCTCAGGCCCAAAGCAGATAATATCATACCCTGTGGTGGAGTGGGTCGTTACAAATGGTATCAGAGCCGGACCCAGCCGGAAGTGTGCCGACGGGGACGTCGGGCCTCCAAGGGGGGTGGATTGTGATGACCTTGTGGGCGGGTGTGCCGTGGGCGGGTGTGAGAGATACTGTCAGGCTACCACACTGGCGAGCTACGGGTGCACAGTCCCACATCGCCTGGGTAGAGAAAATGTGAAGTGCTTATATGTAAGTGTGTCATCTCCAATTGGTATGAGGCCTTTTGGGGTGAAGCCCAAGAGCAAAACCGTGCGGGCTCAGACCCAAAGCGGACAATATCATACCATGTGGTGGAGTGGGTCGTTACACGTACCTCCTGCATTAGAGCCAAACTTTAGCCATATGAATTGCAACAATATCCCAAGAGAACCCACAATCATGATTAAGTTCAAAACTTATATACAACAATCAAACGTTATGACCTGTCAGGCGTTCGGACTTACATGGTCAGGAGTTTTAACGTACTGACCTACATGGTCAGGCGTTCTGACTTTATGAAGTTCTGACGTTATGGCGTTCTGACGTGCTGACCTACATGGTCAGGCGTTCTGACCTCCGAATGACAAAACAGAGAGTAAAAATCAGGGCATGTAAACCACCTTCCAAGCACAAGTAATTTGAAACCACACAAACCATGTATTAGGGTTCCAAGTCTAGAATGACATAATAAATGACAAGTCCTCATCATGATATAATGTATAAAACAATACCACCAACTTATCAATTAAATCATACTTCAACAATAAGCTTTATACACTAAAAGCAATCAGCAAGAATGTAAAATTATCATCACAATAAATATAGCAATTCAAGTCAATAAGAATTGTATATAACATTAATACTTCTACACAAAGTAAATACATATCATACATGTTTAAATCAATAAAACCTAAGTCATATGTGAGGATTTCCTATACTATGCAAGACTACAATATTAAAAGCATGTACACAATATATATTAAACCCCAAAGGATCATAAAACACTCAAAGTATAAATATACTACCACCCCTACCTCAATAGAGAATTGAATCTCTATAATCCAAGTAACCAAGCTTTAAAATAGAAAACATCTAGGGTTTTGTAGAGGAGAGTGAGAGGAAACTTTTACTTCCTAAGGTTTAAGGTCTAAGGTGAGTGGAATGAGGCTAAAATGATGGAATAAGTTTTATGCCAACCTTTTCCTTCAATGGAGGCTAGGTTCGGATTGAGAGCAAAGGGAATGAAGATAGGATAAAACGAAATGTGGTGGGTGGAGGATCTAGTATTCCTCCACTCACTAGGTGTTTTTACACTACCTCTCATACGCACACAAATGTAAGACTTAATTTGGTGCCTACACTTGTTACCAATCCATGACTCATTCCTAGGCTTAATCCTAAGCCTACACTTGTCAACCATCTAAGCCAACAGGTGCAACTATCCTAGGCCAACAAGTAGGTGAATCTCCACCCTCCAAATGTCAAGAGATTAAGCTTCCAAGTTACTCCAACCCAATGCCAGCAAGTGGCACCATAAGAGTGTGACACTTGTCACACTTTCCAAAAATTGTAAAAAGGTCATTTTCCAAATTAAATTGCAAAATGGTCCTTAAAATGAAAAATAATTATTTTACATAATTACACTAAAACTCCAAAAATCAAGAATATTTTCAAGAAAGTATGCATTCATATCCTTTATGAAAAAAGTAAGCAACTAGCGTGGTTTTCTACAAAAGTAACATTACAATTACCTTGGAAATCAAATATTATAGATGCATGTAAAGCCAGAATCAAATGAACACGTATAGTGTGATTATGCAAGGAAAAATGATAAACAGGAAAAATGACAAAATAGGAAAAAAGACGAAAAAAAAAAATTATCGAAAAAAGAAAGGAAGGAAAATGACCGGATCGTTACATAATGGTTTATTTTTTATAGGTTCAATCAAGAAGGTTAAATTGGTAATATTATAAAAAATAGTTATTGACTTTTTAAAGGTGGACACTTATGTGGTTCAATATAATTTGAACACATGTCTAAAATTTTAAATTTTTTAAAAATAGTCATTATCCATTTTCTTACCGGTTAAATTAAACCTAATATATATATATATATATATATATATATATATATATATATTTTTTTTTTTTTCTTTCCAAAACAATCACCATTGTTTCTATACCTAACCTCCATATGAAATTGGAAAATTAATGTACCTAATAAAAAACACTTATTCATATATTTGAGAAAATCTCATATTATATAGATTAACATATTATTGAACAAATATGATATGGAAATTTGATGTTAATTTGTATGAATAGAGCTTTTCTAGTAGGTCTATTTTTTGTCAACGTTGGATCTATGTTTTCCATCTTTGGTAAAAAAAAAAATTTCCTCTCTCGTGGGTGGAAAATATGAAAAGAACAATTAGAATTTTGTGAATACTACAAATTCTGATTGGTAGAGTTTTGTGTCACTTATGAGTTTCGGTTGGTTTGTATTCAGATGGAGGTTGGATGTAGAGATTTACAGGAATAGAGAGAGAAGAGAGACCCTAAAAGAGGGATTCTAAAAAATTTTAAATTGGGAAAGAAAAAAAGAAATTGGATTTGAGTTTAACCAGTAAGAAATTGGATAATAACCATTATTAGAAAATTTAAAAACTTGGACATGTGTCTAAATTGTATTAGGGATTCAAAAAAATTAAATTGGATACTGACCATTATTAGAAAATTTAAAAACTTAGATATGTGTCTAAATTAAATTGGATCAGCTGAAGGATGAACTTCATCCTGTTAAGGGAGGACTCAAGTATTATCCTTCCCTACTTTGCACATATTAGGATAAAACTAGCTTCGCCTTTTTAAGGGGGACATTTTAAGTTTTTCAACCCACAAATAGCCCACTTCTAACGAAGCCCTTGGGTGGCCCAACAGACAAATGGCCCATATTGACTTCCATTTGCATATCAAAGAAATTTTGCAGAAATACTGTAGAAAGAAGCAAAGAGGCAAAGAGGCGAAGAAGATGTGAAAAGGTTCCTACCAAGAGTATATATTTCATCTTCAAGACAGCAACTTTCTCTTCCTGGTATGTTCTAATTGATTATGACTACTTCTACAACTCGTTTTAACTCGAATATGCTTTAATTAATCCGTTATTTATTATAAATTTTGGTTTTTTTTTTTCGTACTTGTACAATTACTACTTCCGATTCTTTCATTAAGGGTTTATTTTTGCATTTTTATTGCTGTTAATTTTCTTTTCATCTATTTAATGTTTTACCCATTTTGATAAAATTGATGTTTAGCTCTGATATTTGCTTACAGTACCTAAATCTCTAGCTAAATTTGTTTTTATCGTCTATGTGTCGTCTTTTTGACTTTCATATGAAGTGGGTATGTATTTTTTTGGTTGATTTTTCATTATTTATTCGTTGTAACTTGTACTCATATACAAGCAAGTGGTTAGCAATATCACATTGTTGAATTTATATAGAAAATATATTGTATTACCCAGATCAAGTTCTACTTTTGAATTTGGATTAGGAGTTGGCACTTTATTTATTGTTTGGAATAAAGGATTCAGCTTGGAAATTGGTGTATCGTGTAGGATTTTTTTTTAATGAAAATGGCAGCGAAGCTATTGAACAACATTTGGATTAGGTGTCAGCATTGTCCATGTACTGTCTAACATTTGGATTAGGCAGTAAAATTAATCTTTGGATTGGATGACAAGCGGACCTGTTACAGCTAGCCTCTTCAGTTCTTCTCTTTGATCCCCCAAAAACATTTTTCTTGTCTAAATAGTTATGAGCCCGTTATATCTAGCCTCTTCGGCTATTCTCTTTGGTCCCCAAAAGTTCTCACAAGAGTAGTAATACTTGATCAGGGACGGATCCAGGAAGATGTGGGAGGGGGGCGAAAATGAATTTAGTGTATTTTTAAAAATAATTTTGGGGGGGGGGGGGGGGGGGGGGGGTTTATAGGTATATAATTAAAAAGAAGAAAAATTAGTGGTATATAATAGTAAATAAAAAAAAATCAGTGGGGGCAATTGCCCCCACTGACAATGAAGTGGCTCCGTCCTTGTATGTGATTGAAGGTCTGAAACTCCAGCCCTCTCACATTAGATTTTGGACCTTTGGCCCGCAAACCATTTCCCTTATCGTAATTAATTTCTAAGTGATGTATAACTACAATATCAAAAAAGGTTATTCTTGATGGTATCCCGTATCACTCATATTATTGGCATTAAAACTGTATACGACAAACATCACTTTGTACTTTTACTCTACTTTGAAAGGTAATAAAAAAAAATTATTTCTAAATTGAATCTTATACCACACTTAATAATTGTTTCACATATTACAGTCATTAAAAAAACACTTCTACCATTAATGGCATTAAAGATGCTGAGCATACGACAAACATCACTTCGTACTTTTACTCCACACTGAAATATAACAAAAAATACCATTTCTTAATCGCGACTTATAGTACAGTTAATAAATGTTTCACACTTTCACCTATTACCGTCATTTAAATACTCTTATCTCTTGCTTTGAACAGAGTAATTGATTTTCTACTAAAGTGATTTATTGTGATATCATAATCAGTTATATAGTCCTAGCTCTATCTCTCACCATTGGTTGTAAAACTGCTAGTCCTATAATTGGTAAGTCAACTAGGGTCACTTCGTATTTCTACTATTATCTTTAAATAAGTAACATAATTTCTTAAAAAAATTCTTTTATATTTAAGTTAAAATGGAAAAGTATGAAACAGTAGATGTCACTATGGTGTCAAGTTTTGTTTGAGTAATATCTTCAACCACAAAACACCCCCTCCCCCCCAACAAATAGTCCACTTCTAATGAAGTCCTTAGGTGGCTAACAGCAAATGGCCTATATTGACTTCCATGTGCATGTTATACAACGAGATTTTGCAGAAATACTGGAGAAAGCAAAGAGGCAAAAAAGATGTGAAAAGGTTTCTACCAAGAGAGTATACTATCATCTTAAAGACTGCAACTTTCTCTTCCTAGTATATTTTTATTGATTATCATTACTTCTAGAGCTCGTTTTAACTCAAATATGCTCTAATTAATCCATTATTTACTATAACTTTTGGTTCTTTTTCTACTCGTTACTGCTTCCAATTCTTTCATTCAAAGGTTTATTTTGCATTTTTATAGCTGTTAATTTTCTTTTCATCTATTTAAAATTTTACCCATTTTGATAAGATTGATGCTTAGTTCTGATATTTGCTTATTGTTGAAAGATATAAAAGTTGAAGAGAGAGATTAAACATGAAGAACACAACACACAAAGCCCAAATGGCTTCATCACTTTTGTTATATTCTCTATCACCTCTATTATAGGTGAAAGAATACAAGTGATAAAGATGGAAAATACATTGATAGAGGATTCTTAAAATCAATCCCATATATGATATATCACTCCAGTCAATATTCTATCATAGGCTAAAATCACTCTTATGATATTCTCATATCAATATTCTGTCAAGGAGTAATTTAAGAGTTCCTATAATAATATTCTCAAACACTTATAGTATCTAGATCTCAAGCTAAATTTAAAATTTGGATTTGTATTTGCATATTCTTTTTCAGGCTTTCATGTGAAATGGGTATGTATTATTTTTGTTTGATTTTTCTATATTTATTTGTTGCAACTTGTACCTATATACAAGCAAGTGGCTAGCAATATCACATTGTTGAATTTATTCAGAAAATACATTGTATTTCCAGATCAAGTCCTACTTTTGAACTTTGATTAGGAGTTAACACTTTATTTTATTGTTTGGAATAAAGGGTCCAGCTTGGAAATTGGTGTTTGTGTAGATTTTTTTATGAAAATGGCAACAAAGCCATTGAACAACATTTGGATTAGACGACAGCAATGTCCATGTGGAGACTGGAAGTGTTATATTGTATATGAGGGAGATGATCAGACAACATTAGGGTCTCAGCTAGTAAAGAGTGAGACATCGTCTTCATCCTTAGAAGCTGTTTTCACTCCTTATGTTGGTCAGATTTTTAAAAGTGATGATGAAGCATTTGAGTACTACAGCAACTTTGCTAGGAAGAACGGGTTTTCAATTAGGAAAGCGCGCTCAACTGAAAGCCAAAGTTTAGGGATTTATAGAAGAGATTTTGTTTGCTACCGTTCTGGGTTTAACCAGCCAAGGAAAAAGACCAATGTGGAGCATCCCAGAGATCGAAAATCAGTACGATGTGGATGTGATGCAAAATTGTACTTGACAAAGGAAATTGTTGATGGTGTTACGCAATGGTATGTTTCACAGTTCAGTAATGTTCATAACCATGAACTGTTGGAAGATGATCAAGTGCGTCTACTTCCTGCGTATAGAAAAATACAGGAGGCTGATCAAGAACGCATTCTTTTACTCTCTAAAGCTGGGTTTCCGGTGAATCGGATTGTGAAGGTGTTGGAACTAGAAAAGGGAGTTCAACCAGGACAGTTGCCCTTTATAGAGAAAGATGTTAGGAATTTTGTTAGGACGTGTAAAAAAACTGTTCAGGAGAACGACACTTTGCTCACTGAGAAAAGAGAAAATGACCTGATGGAACTTCTTGAGGCTTGCAAAGTTACTGTTGGGAGAGATGAGGGATTTGTTTATAGTTTCACTACAGATGAAAATGGTAAAATTGAAAACATTGCATGGTCATATGGGGATTCTGTTCGTGCATTTTCAGTGTTCGGCGATGTAGTTACTTTTGACACTACATATCGCTCTATCACCTACAACATGCTCCTCGGGGTGTGGTTTGGTATTGACAATCATGGCAAGGCAATTTTCCTGGGGTGTGTTCTGCTACAAGATGAGACTTCTCAATCATTTACATGGGCATTACAGGTGTGTGATCACAAGTCCTTTTGATTATATTCACATTTCTTGTGATTATATTGTATCTATATTCACTTTTCTTCTTCTAATGTCCCCTTTTTAACAGAGTTTTGTTCGATTTATGGGAGGAAGACAGCCTGAGACTATCATTACTGATATAGATTCAGGGCTTCGAGATGCTATAGCCATTGAGTTGCCAAATACTAAACATGTTATATGTATATGGCAAATTCTTTCCAAAGTATCTAGTTGGTTCTCTTTGCCACTCGGACCTCGATATGATGAATTTAAATCTGAGTTTGATATTTTGTGTCATCTGGAAAATATAGAGGATTTTGAGCATCAATGGAATCATCTTGTTGCTCAGTATGGTCTTGGTTCAGATAAACACATTGCTCTGCTCTTTTCATATCGAGCATCCTGGCCATTTTCCTACATCAGAGGTTTCTTTCTGGCTCGTGCAATGACAGCCGAGTATTCAAAAACAGTGGATACATTTTTGAAGAATATTTTGAGTGGACAAACATGTCTGCAGTTTTTCTTTGAACAGGTATTTTAATTAATTGGTTCTATCATTTCTGTTATTGCACTATGATTTAAGGTTTAATTTAATTAAATTTCGTCTTGGAATTCTTTCAGGTCTGTATTGTTGCCAACTTTGGGAATCAGAGCAGAGAAGAGCTGCTGTATATGCCCATTAAGACATGCCTGCCTATTGAGGAACATGCACGTAGTATTCTTACACCTTACGCTTTCAATGTATTACAGCATGAAATTGTGCTATCTATGCAGTATGCAACAACAGAAATGGCGAATGGTTCATATCTTGTGAGGCACTATAAGAAAATGGAAGGAGAGTGTCTTGTGATTTGGATACCAGAAGATGAGCAAGTTCACTGTTCTTGTAAGGAATTTGAACAATCTGGCATTTTGTGCAGGCATTCTCTTCGAGTACTTGTAATAAAGAACTACTTTCAAATCCCAGAAAAATATATTCCCCTTCGATGGCGACTGGAGAGTTCCTTATTCCCTATGGATGATCAAATTATGCGAAGCAGTAGTGATGAGTGTTCTCAAGCCTTCCATTCTCTCACTGCAACTCTATTTTCAGAATCATCAATCTCCAAGGGACGTTTAAATTTTGTTAATGGAGAACTTATACATATTCTTGGGAATGTTCGAAATATGCCAGTTGTTGATGAAGTTAATTTGAGTTTAGCACCCAATAATGTCGGTGAATCCTAGATTTGTAATGTATTGCATGGTGTGTCATGTAACTGCACTCGGGGGCCTTATTTTTAAAAATTGTAGGGAACTGCAAAAGATGAAATTAGGCGTCGAAGGCGCCAAATGATAAGTATATACTATTCTTTCGCTTTTGTGCAAATAAACTTATACTTCAAATTCTGGCAAACAAATAGAGGCGGTAAAATACAGATTTCTCCTCAATCTCCAACAGGTAATCCTAGTTTTATGTGCAAATGTTGTTTCTCTTTCTAAATTTATTTTGAATGGTTGTAGATGTTGGACTGAAGTCCAAAAAAAACTTGTCATTTTGTTCCTGTAGAATGTAGTCTACTTTCTTGAGATGGATTCTCTTGAAGTATGAATTGAGAAGGTATTGTGTTGTCTTACTCAAATTAACCACTTATTTCAAATGAGTTGTTGGATCACAATTAAATGGTGTTAGATGTATGAAAATAATTAAGATTGTCTTCTCTTCTCAATTTAATCTATAGACTCTATTCAGTTTGTCTAGTGGAAGCAAGGAAGTTGAAAGTTAAAGTCAGTTTCTTTAGTGGAAGCAAGGAAGTTGAAAATACAGTTGCACTATGTCTTTTACTATTTGCTTTTGCTACAGGTACAAAAGGATTTGCAGAGGTAAGTTCTCATCAACGGATTAATGATAGATTTCTTTGATAAATAGCGAAATTGAAGGCGTATAATTTTTAGTTTGTCGCATCTACTGTTTTGGATGAAGAGCCCCTTCTGTTCTGCAGTCCAATTTTATATGATGAGAAATCAAAGTAGTTCTTCAGGTGTTGGCATTCAGGTATTGGTTAAGCAGCTTGTCATTGTATGTTGAACTATGGGCTATTCACGTGGGTTCTGGAAATGTGGCCAGGGCTTTTGGCTTATTCTTATTCTTTGGGAGTCTATGAATAACATTTGTATCATAACTTGCAATGAGTCATTTACATGATTCTTATCATGCATGACGATTGAATATTATTTTTGGAAATGTTGTGGAAATTATCTGCTTATATACTTGAGTACGCGTTAATCTGAACTCCTTAACTGAGATAAAACTTTGCCTCTTCTGTTTCTGGTGAATTTACTATAGCTTTTGAACAGACAATGTCTCTTCCATGCTGGCAACAAGTTAGTTAATGGCAAAGACTACCGGATAAAGTCTTGTTAAGCTCGAGCTATATTCAACCAATACAAGGCATACCTGCCCATGTCGTCTTGATTGAGTGCTTGTACAAACTCATCTATACTGGAATTGTAATTCTCCACTTTTGTATCAACTGGAGAAAAAGAACTATCAAGATGCCGTGTTGCTCGTCCTGTCTTTCAGATCTGGATGCCCTCCTGGATCTCATTCCCTGCCATTGATGCTCACTTACAGCAACAGGTACTAGTTTTGCATTTTAGATTCAATTTGGACTGCACCAGGGCAAGAAGTAACAATCTTTTAGTTGGTGTTACCATCAGTGACTGCTGTGTATAAGTTTGATGTTTTTATGTCCCCAGAACAATTGTCAAGATAATGATTGGAAAAAAAAATTTACTGCACAAATTTGTGTATTGAAGGGACATGTTTAATGGAATTCTTAATCCTTTCTCTTCTGTCTAGTTAACCAGTGGGGACCAAAAATTATTGTGGTAATTATCAATGGGGAAACAGGTCAATTTTTGTTGAACAACTGTCTCCCACTAGGCCTGGCTATCTGAATAATTTATCTGGGACTGTTTGGATGGAAGGAAACATGGCCACCTCTTTATTGTTAGATTTCTCATTTTATTTTCCCTCTGTGGTCTTGCACAGGGTACAATGCTTGAGATTCGGCCTCTCGACGAGGGTGCAAATCTTCTCTGAAGGGCGCTTGAAAACCTTAAAAAAACAGGAGTTTGATCATGCTGGTAAGAATTTATTCGAGAGCATGTAAAATGCATTGATTTCTTGTGTTGTTGATGGTGGTTTCCAAATCCCAATCCCTTGATCCATGGGAAATAAAGGGAACTAGACAGCTCATTTTGTTGCTCAACATGCCTTAAAAAGGTAAAGGATGTTTGGAGTCTAGTTGGAGGTTTCTGTGTGTCTTGAAGAACACCTCAAGATGTGATTTGAGTCACAAAAAGCATTGTCATATTGTGTGGCTTTGATTGTTCAAGACTCAACATCGGCTAATTTGACACCTAATTACACTTGGTTTGTGCCCTTCGTTAATGTGGTTATCAATCCATTAATGTGCTCCAACTACCATTATTGGGGCACCAAGAGATCCAGAATGTGATTTGAATGAAACAGGCATATTGGATTCTTCATGGACTTTATTGTCTTTTCCTGTGTGGAATGGGGAGGTGTAATTTTTATATTTTCTTTCAGTTAATTTGTCTTCATCTGAAAGACCCCAAGTCAAGATAGAAATTGCTTGGCAGCATCTTCCTCACGCAATGAAAATGACTCGAGGAAAAAGATCATCACAATCACATGCTTAAAGTAGTACAAAGAAGAAAAAAGTCACTCATTCAAAAACATATAATAGTGTTTTAACCAAAGCAAGGATTTTATTGATCTCAGCTTAGGGATTCTCTTCGATTTTCCTGTCTAATAATGTCTCAGTATTGAAAGGAAAGCTACATCATTCAAAGGACTCCAGTCAGGAAGCCCCACTTGGCGATCAACCATTGGCCGAAAATGGCTTCGCTTTTTTTATTCCCCCTCATTTTTACCAGAATTGGTTGACGAGGGAGATTTGAACCGACATCTCCTTAGATTCCCAAATAAGTTAGTAGGGCAAACGGGCGTGTGAGTTTTTAGCCGATGAAAAAAAAAAAAAAAAAAAATCTACTTATCTGGTTGATCAGCTGCATTACATCCGTATCCCCCATAGATGGGTCAGCAAAAACTTCGAATCCAATTCAAAACCTTTAATCCGTTTCCAATATGATTAACAACAAATGGGTCACTAGCTAAATTAAATCTTTAGAAACAGGGGAAACAGAGGCTGAATATGGTTGCTACAGGCTTAAAAGTTTTCATCCAAACACAATTTGAGCTTAAATTGAAAACTGATGCTAGAAAGAGCTTGCAGAGAAAATATTTACAGAGAGACAAAAAGTACAAGTCAAGGACATATTATAAAAGACTGATGATGATTCCAATTGTCAGTTATTGTTTTCACCCACATCAAACCATGATCAGATGATGTTGGGCCTCAATTTTGATTCCTTTCATCTTCCTTATAAAATCCTCACATTTCTTGTTCAGTTCCTCTGCACTCAACAACCCCCCAATTCCTTCTTCCTCTTCTTCCATATCATGAAACTCTGCTTCATCTTCATCTTCATCTTGTGCAGCCACGAGCCCATTTTCATCACCCTTTGCCGGAACCGAAATTCCATTTTCACTTCCATGATCTTCTTCATCTTCCACTACAACAACTTCATTAACCAATGCTTTTGGTTCAGAAAATTCAGGCACTATTGATCGCCGATCTTCGCCGTCCTTCTTGATGTGTTTGCCATCAACATCACTACCCAGTTGAGGGTTAGTGATCAGACCAGAGCTGGTAATCAGAAAAACAAGAATTCCATTGCAAAGGAGGAATATGTAATTCCTGTGAATGGTAAAGGAAACTGTTTGGATGGAAAATGGAGTACCATCATGATTGAAGGAATGGAGAAGGAAAGGAAGTGGTGAGTAGTAAGAAAACAGGAAGGAAAATACTGAGAGTGAGAGTAGAATTGGGATGGTTTTCTTCAAGAATTGGAATTGGCTGACTTGCCTAACAGTTTGGAAGTCTCGTTGATTGATTTGATCCATTTTTTTTTTATGGGAGTGAAACAATGGGACAAAGTGTGTTGAAGAGTGTGTAGTGATGGGTATTGTGAAATTGGTTGCTATTTGCAAAAGGGGCAATGGGGATATACTTATATACTTGAAAAAACAAAAAACTTGGGTTTAAGAAGGAATGTAATTTTACAGAAATAGCCCTAGAGAAATTTATTGAAATTTTCTTGGTCAGCCAACTAGCCCATTTAAGACCACTTACGTGAATGACAAAAGTTTAATCTTTGAAGTTGACAGTCTATCTCTCATCACCCCATTAAGATTAATAATATTAGAGTGAGCTTCATTTGGCTCATTCTTATAGAGCATTTCATGTTCACACTGGTAAATCTTTTGGAATTATTGTGGTAGACATAAAGATGCGGCTTTATTGGTATTGTTGGGTTGGGAGGCAGAGAATTATAGTAGTAATTCCTTGGCCTTTTCTATTTTTTGGCTAGCTCAAACTCAAATACCATTCATAACTTCATGATCAGAGGAAGAAAGTTCCGAATTTGTTTCTAAAATAATAAAATAGAGGTGGTGGACTAACTTGTTGAATGGGAAAGAGTGATTAATGAAGCGGAAGTTATGAACGTCCACAATTTAAAACTTTTAATTCACAAAGCTTAAGGGAAGAGAGTTCTAAAATATTAATATTAATAAATGATTAGTTTTGCCTTGCAGTAGATGCATGCATTGAAGAGAAAACCCAATAACGAAATCTATTAGCATAACGAAACTTAAAAACAAGCTAATTCAAATCTGATCACTAACAAATAATTTGAAATATTTTATCTAAAAAATAAGGTAAAAAGTAATATGGGTCCACTAACTAAAGTTAATGGATTTTGATGATTGGGTCTTCTTATTTTATTTTATTTTTTTATTTTTAGGATTGGATTTTCTCAAATCAAAATGATTTGATTGAAATGCATCCAAAAAAGTCGATTACATGTCCTACATCAGTCTCTAATCAACCTATTGAACCTATGATCTATAAGTTTTTTAAGGTTTGTTGAACCCAACTCAAAATTAATATTAGGGATCCATTTTCATATTGAAATAAATTAGAAACAAGTCATGGTAGAGAGTCTACACTATTTGTTAAGAAAATCCATGCTTTCACCTTTGAAAGAAAGAATAATAACAATCACATCACATAATAAGGAATTAATTAAACGATAAGATTATTTACATTTTGGAATTATCTTTTTGGGTCTAACCAACTATTATAAAATGATGAGTTTCTTGATTTTGCTGGCATATACGATGATATTACTCTTTAAAGTTATGAATACTCTGTATAATATAAGAAATTTTTAAAAAAATATCTCTGTGGTTTGACATGCACTATTTAATGGAGTGTATTCACGCAAATTTATTTGTTATTCAAATTGATGGAAGGAAAAATGATATTTTGCGAAGCGGAAGTTATGTATGTTCATAATAACACTTTGAATTCACGAGTTTAAATGTCTACAATAACATTTTGAATTCACAAAGTTTTAAATAAAAGAATTATAAAATATTATTAATAAATGATAAGTATTGTCTTGCAGTAGATGTGTACATAGAAGAGAAAACTCAAAACTTAACAACATAATGAAACCGAAAAATAACCTCAAAATAATAATAATAATAATAATAAAGGATATGAAACCTAGTCACTGAATAAAAAAAAAAGCTAATCCGAGTCTAATTTGTTCACTAACAAAAATTTTAGAATATTCAACGGTATTTCTATAAGACTAAAAATACAATTTTGGAATCTTAAAAAAAAGAAAGAAAATAAATTAAGACAAAAATTAACTCAAATTAATGGTTGATTATTGAGTCGTTTTGATTAGGAATGAATTTTCTCAAATCTTAACAATTGGATTGAAATGCACCCAAAAAAATGTCGGTTACATATCCTACATTAGTCTCTTAATCACCTATTCAACCAATGGTCTATATGTTTCTAAAGAGTTGTTGAACCTAACTCGAAATTAATTTTAGGGTCCATTTTCAAATTGAAATAAATTAGAAGCAAGTCAAAAACTTGGTAGAGAGTCCACGAAAATCCATGCTTTCACATGAGAGAGGAAGAATAATAACAATCACATCACATAAAAGAAAGAATAGTTACATTCTGCAGTGTTGAGTCTCTTGACTTGGCTGGCATGTATCCAAGTGGGGTTGTCAATAATATCAAATGGATCATGTGTCTGGATTTAAATCATATAAATTAACATATTATTGGAGTAGACACATATATATTGATATTGTTGGGTTGGGTATGTACTGTTAATACTTGTCAATACAATTTTTATCATTTTTTTATTTTTATTTTTTATTTTTTTTAAAAAAAATAAAGTTATCTATATCTAATGGACACATCACTCAGTAATAATCAATTTAAATTATGAAAAAAAAAAAAATTGTAAGAGGATAAAACTGATATAATAGAGGTTGACTGACTTGTTGAAAGGGAAAGGGTCTTTAGTCAACCTGTTCAACCCATGGTCTATGTGTTTGCAATGGTTGTTAAACCTAACTTGAAATTTAAACGAGGGTCCATTTTCAAACTTGTAGTACAATGTTTAAAATTGAAATATATTAAAAGCAAATCATTAATTAGTAGTGAGTCCACAGATCACTTATTTTTGCACAGCTTTTTGTTAAGAAAATTCGTGCTTTCAGATGAGAAAGGAGGAAGAATAGCAGTAAGGAATTAAAAGAAAGTTTATTTACATTAATTCTGGAACTATCTTTTTGGCTCAACCAATTATACAACTGGATATCTAATTATTCTGGTACTATCTTGATGAAAATAATGATCAACTGTTTGGATTGATGAATACTAGGTTAGGATCACCATTACATTGTATTTATAGAATTTACCATCTTCACTGGAAGGTGGTTGGGTGGAAGAGATAAAAACTATATTTGAGATTGTTGTGTTTCAATTACTTATCAACAAAGTCACTTCAATGGCAACCAATTCAGTTAGTTTATCAGCTACCATGATGAAATATCATCTGATTCAATCAGGGACGGGTGTAGAAATTCATATGAGGGGTAAATTTTTACATAGGGAATTTTATTTATTTATTTATTTTTAGATATCAGAGGAGGCAATTTCGAAATTTTATTGGCAGAAATGAAAAAAAGTACAAATTTAGAAGTATAAAATGCAATAAAAAAAATTTCAGATCTGCCCCCACTATAGATCCGTGCCTGGATTCAATATGTCCATGGAGCACCACTTGATGACCTACCAAGTCAAGAGATTATTAGTCCAGTTGGTATAACTTTTTCTCTCTGAAAAGGATAGGTGAGGGGTTCAAGCTAGGGCTACAACATGGGCGGGTTGACACGTTATCAACTAGGCTACTACACTCTTACAACTTAAGTATAATTATAAATATATATAATATTTTCGAGTTCGGATTGGGCTTCGGGCTTCATCCATATCAACCCAAGCCCAACCCGAATTGATTTGTGCTGAAAATATATAGCCCAGGCCCAAACCGAAATTAGAAAAACATTGCCCAAGCCCAATAAATTTCGAGCTGGGCTCAGGTTATTTCGGGTTGGGCCTGCCCGAGTTGCAGCCCTAGTTCAAGCCTCATAATAAAATAATAATTTTAGAAAAGAGGCAAGCATTGAAGAAGGCATTACACCTCCGGACAAAGTGAACTTAGTTGCTCATAATCAAAGCTGTGCACCTGAAAAAAAATTATATATGGGAGCCCCTACAATGAAACTTCACTAACAAGAGATGGAAACAAACGTAAATTGAAACCATCACATAATTTTATAAATTGAAATCGTTTTCAAAGTACTTTTGAGCTATTTTCTTTTTCTTCTGGTGATTCAAGAAGAGTAACGAAAATTTAGAATTACCTACCGTTTGGGTTAATTTTTCAAGCCATTATTTCAATCTTTGTGCAATACCACCAACAATTATAGTTCAATGGTACTGCTATATTCTTTTAAAGGTTCAATTTTTTTTAGGAGCAAAGTGAGCTTTGGCAAAGGTGAAAAGAAAATAATAATAATAAAAAAGAAGAATGAAAATGAAATTCTTTGTGCAACTCAGGGCCAGGTTGTAGTTCGTAGCCAATCTATTTTGTATCTAATATACAATTCAGGCCCAAGGTCATCTACTAGCCGGATTGGGTTTGGGTCCTGCAGTTGATGAAGATGTGCACGGGCCCAAATATATGTGTACAACTGTACATACACACTGACACACATATACATACACATATATATGTATATCCTTTAAAACAGTAAACAGAAAATTGAGAAAAAAGCTTGACCTCATATAGAAGATTACTTGAAATTAGCATTTGAAAAGTAGTTTCCATTTGCTTCAGTGGCCCTTTAGAGAATTCAAAGGGCCATAATAGATATCATTGAATACTCTTTCAATATCAAGAATCCAAATATATCCGATAGAAATCTCCCAATGCAGATCAAATCAAGCCAAAACTGCTCATAATTTTCTGAGAAAGTCCAAAACGTTTCTATCTCCGTCTGATCATTACCCAATTGTAGGTATGGCTAGACAGTTCAGTCCCTGTTCTTCTTCCTCAACCCCCATCTCACCATCTTCATTCAAGAATGAGAGACACCTCTCCAGGAAAGTTTTCACTGTCCCAACTAAAACCTGTTCCTCCACATGGGTCTCTCAGATTCGTTCAAGAATCCAATCAAGAAAGCAATTTGAGCTCAAATCCTCTAATGGGTATCCTCTCAATGCTGTTTCTTCACAAGATGGTTGGTTCTCTATCTTCTTCTTCGTATATATTATTGATTAATAAGTTGTTCGTTCCTCCAAGTTGTGAATTTTCTGATTTTTGGTTTTTTCTTTCTTGATTATTATGTGTTTGTTCAAATGTGTATCCAGCTGTTCATGTGTTTTATGTGTTGATTAATTGCTTTCGTATTTGTTTCCCCAAGTGCAATAATTTTTTAATTAATTTCTTGATTGTTACTTTGCTAGTGCTATGTCCCTAATGACTCATTTCTAAGTATAGCTGTATCGTCAAATCTAAGGAAGAGAACATCTTTAGTAGCCATAAAATAGAAAAGATTGGAATTATCAGAAAAAATAGGGATAACTTGTAATCTTATTCCATGATGGTAATTCGTCGTACAATGACTTGTTTATGTCCAATATGAAGCCTGCTGAAAGAGTTAAATTTCCAAGTGGAAATGCTCCAAAACTTCCTCACATGGCTTCAATTCCAATACGCCGTTGGAAAATTATCGAATTTGAAAGAATACTACATCATTAATAAAATTGCTCCAAATGTCCCTTGATTTGAGTCTGGTTTACCTTTTCATAGTTGAGATTAGTCTGTTGTGTCATTAACTTATTGCAGTTGCATATGATAATAACAATTCTAATGAGAGTTGGCAAGTTACTTGCTATGGAACTTAAGGTGCTTGTCTGGCCTAAGACTTACCTTCCTTTGATCCTAGCTTTCCATGAACTATCTATGGTCTGTTTTACTATGTAATAATTTATTTACCTTTCATCTCTATTTTCAGTTTTTCAATACTTACGTTGATGGCAATTTTGAGTAGGTTTAGCTCAAAAGCCTCTGGCCAGAGAACATGGTAGGCCTCTAATGAAGGAGGGCTCTATTCCCTTCACAGAATCAGGAGAAGCAGAGTCCACTCTCAGCATAACTGTTGTAGGTGCTTCAGGGGACCTTGCCAAGAAGAAGATTTTTCCAGCACTTTTTGCTATTTTCTATGAAGATTGTCTACCTGAGGTGCTGCTCTTCATTTCTTTGCATATTTCCTCTTTGTAATTATAGAGATAATATGAAATCAAATATGCCAGATTAGTAAAATGCATCTTCATGTCATTATGGGTTCGGCTAAGCTGAATAGTTTTTTTCCCTCTTATTTTCACCAATTGTATACACTCAGAACTTTACAATTTTTGGTTATGCTCGGACTAAAATGAGTGATGAGGAGCTCAGGAACATGATCAGTGAAACCTTAACCTGCAGAATTGATAAGAGGTATTTTCTCACACATGTTTTCAAATGAAATATCTAACCCGACTATGTTTCCAAGTTGCACTCATTAATAAAAATGAGGATTTCCAGTGAAAATTGTGGTGACAAAATGGATCAGTTTCTAAAAAGATGCTTTTACCATTCGGGTCAATATAATTCGGAGGAGCATTTTTCAGAATTGGACAGCAAGCTGAAAGAGAGAGAGGTATTGTCTCAAATTTACTTATTCCTTTTTTTTTTTAAAAGGTCTCTATTGATTCTACTATCTTGCTCAGTAAGCATGAAAAGTGTTAATTGTCAACAACTTCAAAGGTTTTATAGTGCAATGAATGGTACACTCTTATAAGGCAACTCTAATTTTGCAGATGGAACATCACAAAATGTTCATTAAATAATAAAATTTTCATCAAATGCTTCTTTGCTGCATATTAACATTGTCTAAGGTCTTTTTGTCATTGGAGTTTCAGGTCTCAAGAATGTGAAATCCTAGGATGAGACCAAAATTATATTTTTTTAGGGACCTCATTTTTTTGGGTTGTCTTCTTTCTGTGATTGCTATTGCCAGATCCCCTAATTTGGGCGAGATAGTGGTGGGTGGCAAATGTAATAGCAGGGACTGTTGATTACTTTAGCTGGAAAAGTTTCTGCGATGATGGAGATGGTGGTGGTGGAGATGATAAGTGTTGGGGAAGAAATCCACGCGGTCCAATACGATACCGTTTTCCTGCAAAGAAGATAGTAGAAGATCGATGAATTTTGACGGCACCGGTGTGGCGCCTGCCAAGAGTTCTCCGACGATCAAGTCAGTCACCGAAGTTTTAAAAGAAAGGCAGGGATTTAATAATAGTTTTTTGTCATACCTGATTGACTGGTAGGATCTCATTCTTATAGCTGCTCTCCCTTAGTTCGTTTACGAGATTAGAGGAGATCCATTTGTTGCCAGATTTGTTGGGGATATGATTTACCCCTTTGACTTTCAAATTGTGCCAAGGTTATCCTTACCTTGTTGAACTATGTCATCTTCCCCTATCATTGATAACGAAATATTATCATTCTTATCCAATGGAAATATCATCGTTTGAAAATCGAAGAGGTCTGGCGGTTGGTCAACACTTAGTTGCCTCTATCGTTAAGTCAAGGTAGGTTAGGTTTATTTTTCTCTATCAGTTGCCCCCCCATTCCCAAGCTTGCCATTCATCTTCAGGTACTATTCTCTTGGGTAATGTTTCCTTGGGTACTCTTCCCTTGGGTAATGTTCTCTTGAGTAATCTTCCATTGGATACTCTTCCCTTTGGTGATGTTCCCTTGGGTACTATTCCTGCGGGTACTATTCTCAATGGTGGAATTAATACAGATACCAAATTAAGGTTCTGTTTTGGAAGGGCATTGACTCAAACCCATGGTCAATGACTCTTAGTGATGTAAAACTGGAATTTTCTTTTGAAAATCCAATATACTATTTATAAACTTTATTGGTTTCAGTCAGCTCATCCCTTTGGTAAGGGAATAAACTTTATTGGTTTCAGTCAGTTCGTCGCCCCTTTAATAAGGGAATTAGTTTTTACGAGCTTCACTCAGCTCGTTCCCTTAGTAAGAGAATTAATTTTTACGAGCTTCACCATTTAGTAAGGGAATTAAATTTTACGAACTTCACTTAGCTCGTCCGTTTAGTAAGGGAATTATTTTTTACGAGCTTCACTTAGCTCATCCCTATAGTAAGGGAACTGTTTTCACGAGCTTTACTCGCTTAAACCCTTTAGTAAAGGAGCTTGGTTTTTTGTTAGCTTTCTGTAAAACATTAATTACCACATAGGTAGGTAACTGAAAACGTAATATTTTATTGCGTAAAAAATGAGGGTCATCCATCATTATTGGTGATGGTGACTTTATTGGAAAACAAAATAATACGTGAATGAGCTATCCTCCATTTAAAATGATTAATTAAGACGCCTCCAGTCTTTATTTTGAATGACTTGATAAGGCTAATTCCAGCTGTGAAATAATTTTTACCACGCTAGCCTTCTGAGCCGAGTTGGATTCTCCCAGGTCTACTTATCCAGAGATGATACTGATTTCCCCAATTGATTGAAGCCCCAGAATGCACTTATTAGGGTTTGTCCCTTCATTGGCAAGGAACTTTTGTAAGTGACTCATTTGAATCAGATTCTCAATCTGTTTCTTAAGGTCGAAACAATCATCCGTAGTATACCCATGATCCCGATGGAACCTGCAATACTTATCTTGAGATCTTTTCGCTGGATCAGACTTCATCCTCTGTGGCCATTTCAATGACGCATCGTTTTGGATTTGTAAGAAAATATAGTCAATTGATATATTCAGAGGAGTGTAGTCGGCATACTTATCTGAGTCCTTCTCACAATATGTCTTATCGCTTTAGCTGAAGAATGATCTATTATATTTGGTATCCTTTTCATCCATGGCGAGAGGGGCTGACCTCTTCTTGTCCTCTCATTCCTTTCCCTTCCGTGCATTCATGGCGTCTTCAGTGTTCATGTATTTCTGCTCTCTGATTAATAACTCTGCCATGCTGGTGGGAGGTTCTTTTGATAAGGAGAACAAGAATCTGGAGGTTTGGAGTCAGCGGTCAAAGCCACCTTGTCGTCCACCTCTTCTACCTGCAACATCTCTGTGTTGAATCGGGTGATGTATTTCCGGATCGACTCTTCCTTCTGTTGCTTCACAGTAAGCAAGTAGGTGGCCGGCCTCCTATGCCTCTGACCTGCAATGAAGTGGCTCACAAACTGCTTACTCAATTCTTCGAAGGTGTTGGTGGTTCCTGGTTTTAGCTTGTTGAACCAAACTTTTGCCGGTCTCTTAAGTGTAGTGGGAAAAGTTCGGCACATGATTTCATCTGGTATGGCGTGTAAATGCATATGAGCTTGAAAGGTCTCTAGGTGATCGAGGGGATCTTTGGTCCCGTCGAACCTTTTGAACGAGGGTATCCTTAACTTGCTAGGCAGGGGGCATTTCATAACGGCAGGGCTGAACAGTAAGTTGGTCCTCTGCACCATGTCATCTATGGTGGCAGGACCTTTCCCTTTTATAGCCTGCATTACATCTTCTATTTTCGCCTTGAGATCCTCGATCTGCAAGTCGAAATAGGTAACTTTCTCTGTTTTTTCCTTAACACAGAAGGTTGTGCCTGTTTGAGGCTGGGGATTCGGCGGATGCGGAGGAAGAGGTTCTCTGTCGGTTCCCGACTTGGCTTTGTTCTGCCTCGAACTTGTGAGGAGGATCGTTTTCTCGGTCCTCCTCGTTTTCTCTCCCATCATTCAAATTGGGAGGATATGGGTCAGACAATTCTTGTCGAGGTGGTGGTCCCGCTGGGATAAGATGTTGCAGGATTACTGCATTTTGCTGGATCAACTGGTCTATACCCTGATTTAGAGTTTGGACCTGTAGTTCTAATGCTGCAAGCCTGGTCATTCGGGACGTCTGGGTGTTCACCTGACCCTTCTCTTTGACTGGATCCCTGCAATGATGTTTCTTTTCCAGTTACCATACCGGACTGCAAGTGCATATACCCAACCAAGTAATTTATTGATTTAAGGTAATCGTCGTTACCCACAGACGGCGCCAATTGTTGGGGAAGAAATCCACGCAGTCCGATACGACACCGTTTTCTTGTAAAGAAGAGAGTAAAAGATCGATAAATTTTGACGGCATCGGTGTGGTGCCTGCCAAGAGCTCTTCGACGATCAAGTCAGTCACCGGAGGTTTAAAAGAAAGGCAGGGATTTAATAATAGTTTTTTGTCATATCTGATTGACTGGTAGGATTTCATTCTGATAGCCGCTCTCCCTCAGTTCGTTTGCGAGATCAGAGGAGATTTGTTTATTGCCAGATTTGTTGGGGATATGATTTACCTCTTTGACTTTCAAATTGTGCCAAGGTTATCCTTACCCTGTTGAACCACGTAATCTTCCCTTCATAACGAAATATTATTATTCTTATCCAATGGAAATATCATTGTAAAGTCGAAGAGGTCTGGTGGCTGGTCAACACTTAGTTGCCTCTATCGTTAGGTCAAGGTAGGTTAGGTTTATTTTTCCCTATCAATAAGGATGATTGTTTGTGTGATCAAGGTAGATGTAAGGTGGAAAAGGAAATAGAGAGAAGACGGTGGTATTGATGATGATAATGGAAAAGATGCATTAATAGTGGTTGTTGCCATAGGCTGTACCGATGGTGAGAGTGGAGCAGAATTGGTGGGTTTGAGATGAAAGTCCCTGCCAAGGTCTCTTTCTTGGTGTTGGATGCTGCTGTGTGTTGGAAGATGTTAAGCTTAAATCACTCCTATAATGATATTCTCCTAACATAACATCTTCCAACACTGTGAATGCAATTTTGACCATGAAAGTTTGGGGCACAGGGGGAAGACGTTCCTAATTGGTGCTGCTTGTGTAAAAGAACGAGTCATCTACATGTCTTTGGGTTCATTGCGAGGCGGTTAGAGAGATTTAGTGCTTGTTATGTTCCTTGTTAGATGTGAGATGGGTTATTCCTGGGTCTATCTGAGTCTGATTTTGGTGTTGGCTTGGGGAGTGTGCCAAGCGCCAACAGTAGAGTGAGCAGGCTTTGGATGTGGCTCCTTTATGTCTTTTGTGGTGCGTTTGGAGGGAAAGTAATAAGAGAACCTTTAAGGATGCTAAGTTCCCAATTCATAGGTTGACTAGCTAATTATTGCACTCCTATAATTTTAAAATAACAGGAATGTTTTGTGAGTCATTTTAAGACTTCAGTTTTTTATGAGCCTTGTATAGCCGCTCCTCTACAACATTAGTTGAACCCATCTGGTCTTTTTAATATAATTGAGTATAAAAAAGAAATGATTATTTGTTCTTCAACAAACTAATTGTAGAACTCCTCAAATTTTAATCAATAAACTCTTCTTTACTTCACTTGTAACATTGTCAACATCAACTTTACAGTTTCATACTTATGAAGCTTCTTCCATTAAATGAATCCTCTCAATTCTAAATCTGAACCCCCAAATCTCTATTTTGTGACATTAAACCAGCCATGAGTTCACATTGATATTATATTAAATTGAAGAAATAAACAGCAAAGTGGCTACTGAATGCATCTTACACTATTTTATGTTTTCAGTGTCATACATTTATTTTGAACTTTGATGATGTCTATACTGCCCTTTTCAGGCAGGAAGACTGTCAAATAGGTTGTTTTACTTATCAATACCTCCAAACATTTTTGTGGATGTGGTAAGATGTGCAAGTGTTAAAGCTTCATCAAAGAATGGATGGACGAGGGTCATCGTTGAAAAGCCATTTGGTCGTGATGCAGAATCATCTGCAGAGCTGATCAGATGTCTAAAACGGTACCTAACCGAGGACCAAATATTCAGGTATATTATGCTGGATTGCTTTTCAGTGAGATATTTATGGAGCTGGTAGAGAAGTTGACCTTGCTAATTTTGATTTAGGATTGACCATTACTTGGGCAAGGAGCTTGTTGAGAATCTATCAGTTCTTCGTTTCTCAAATCTTGTTTTTGAGCCTCTATGGTCCAGGAACTACATCCGTAATGTGCAACTTATATTTTCTGAAGATTTTGGTACCGAGGGAAGAGGAGGGTGAGTTAAATGCATAGAACTTGCTGATATTCTAATTAGAAGAAATTATTCTTGTAGATAAGAATATCACCGTTGCTTGTTCTCCTCTCCAGATACTTTGATAGCTATGGAATCATCCGAGATATAATGCAAAATCATCTCCTGCAAATTTTAGCACTATTTGCGATGGAAACGCCTGTCAGCTTGGATGCCGAGGACATTAGGAATGAAAAGGTGTTGATTGACTACAACATATGTGACCCTCTTTATGATTTTTCAAAACATTTATCAAGCTATGGTGTTAAACTGGAAATCGACTTTTCGGCCGCCACCCTCTACTAATTAAAGGACCCAAAAATGTATCCCTAGGGTCTTATGACATAATGAATTGACCGTATAATAATGAGCATGTTCTTGATTCAGGTCAAGGTTTTAAGGTCAATGAGACCACTGCAGCTTGAAGATGTGATTGTAGGCCAATATAAGGGCCACAGTAAGGGTGGTAAATCATATCCTGGATACACAGATGACCCAACCGTGCCCAACGGCAGTCTCACTCCAACATTTGCAGCTGCAGCACTCTTCATCAATAATGCCCGGTGGGATGGGGTTCCTTTCCTGATGAAAGCAGGAAAAGGTCTCCATACTAAGCGGTGGGTGGACCTCCTCCTCCGTATTTTTCATCAGGACCTTAAGTTCTTAACTATAATAACTTGTCGTGTACTGTGAGATGTAAATAATGAATAGGCTGAAATGGTTTTGTCATGAATCCAGAGGAGAGATCAGAGTTCAGTTCAGACATGTCCCAGGTAATTTGTACAAGCGGACCTTTGGAACTGATTTGGATAAGGCTACAAATGAGCTAGTGCTTCGTGTACAACCAGATGAAGCCATATATCTGAAGATCAACAATAAAGTTCCTGGTCTTGGAATGAGAATGGACCGCAGCGACCTCAATTTACTTTACAGTGCAAGGTAAAAAAAACTCATGGTTGAGCTGAGATACAGCTTCAAGTTTAGTGATATGTGTTCTGGACCGACACAGTCAAAATTATTATTTTCCACTTGGTGCTTTGAGTTCCTGTTATTTTTATAGACTAGACTTGCAGACCATAGAATCTGTTAAATAACCTTTGAACCTTGGTCTTCTGGCTCGTTAAGTGAATAATTTCCACCCCAAAGCGGCATTTTGAACAAGTAAATGACAAATTAAAGTTGGAATGAACTACCCTTCTTCACCCTTTTAGATTTCTTAATTTTCACAAATATATTACTCTAAAACTTTGGCTCGGTTATGAAGGTATTCAAGAGAAATACCAGATGCATATGAGAGGCTTCTGTTGGACGCAATAGAAGGAGAACGGAGATTGTTCATTAGAAGTGATGAGCTTGACGCTGCTTGGGCTCTATTCACACCAGTGTTGAAGGAACTAGAAGAGAAGAAGATTGTGCCAGAGCTCTACCCTTATGGTAGTAGAGGACCAGTTGGAGCACATTATCTTGCTGCGAGCCACAATGTTCGATGGGGAGATACCAGTGAGGATTAATGAATGGTAAAAATCTCAGTGTCTTGGACTTTAAATGCTTATTACATGCTCTTGTTGTAAATTTTAGTGGAGTTAGGTTTTAATTCTTTTCTATGCATGTGATGTAATGCTGATAGGAGGCAATGTTCTCTGACATGGTGGCGGATTAGGCTTTGATGTATGGTGGGTGTGGCAGGTTTAAATGATCAGTGATTTATTTCTGGATTTAAGTTCAGTCTTCAATGCTGAATGCATAACCAATGTACAAATCATTTAATCAATAAATAAAAGGATTGGGCAATCTTTGTGGGAACTATTTGGTGGTTGCATGTCTTATGTTAGTTGATCTTGTTTCTGTCAGAAGTGATAATCATTTGAAGAAAATGTCAACTCAGATGAACCTCCATTAACCCGAGTTTGAAAGAATGGGCTCAACATGTCTGAATACTGAGAAGGTTAGTTTATTTCAGCTCTAAACCATGGTGAGACCAGAGGAATCTGTTTTCATTTTATCTGTTTATTAGACCAAGGAATGAGTTTGTACTAGGATGGATAATTGGGCATGTAACATTTTCTGAAGTGGGTTTATAGATCGCAAGATTCTATTTCATGTTAATTGTGTTTTTCTCCCATTGTTTACTGATGTAAGAGACTCAAATCACATTATGTTTGCCCCTTTTTTTTGGCTCACACGACCGATGGAGTTTGCGGACGTGCTAGAGTATGTATATACTCAAAAATGATTGAACACCAAACTATTTTTTTTGGTGGCTAACTTCAGGCGATTGTACAAGAGAGAATAGGATTAACTCTTGGTTAGATTCTTTGGATGCAAGGACTTTTTTGTGCTAGAGTATGTATATACTCAAAAATGATTGAACACCAAACTATTTTTTTTGGTGGCTAACTTCAGGCGATTGTACAATACAGAATAGGATTAACTCTTGGTTAGATTCTTTGGATGCAAGGACTTTTTTATATAGTGTTTAAAAGAAAAGAAATGGATTGAAATGAAATTTAAATGATTTAAATGAAGCAATGAATTGAAATGGACTTTAAAGGAAGTGGCTGAATTGGAATTTTCAAAAAGTAAAGAATGCAATGGAATGAGATGGCCGAATGACTGAAATTTGATCAAAGAATGTCATTGAATTCGATTGAACAAACATGTATTTTATATGTAAATAGCATAATTAGACATTGTAAGAAAATGCCTTGAATGGAATTATAAAGGATTTGATGATTGATAGGGGACGTAGAGTCATTTGATGAATTTGCTATTCATGTTTTGTAGGTGGTGATGGACGGTTTGGAAAGAATTACAACTCTTTTTATTTATAGATTTATTTTCCTAACTAAATCGTCTAATTTCTTGCTAAAATACTTTTTAGTTACTGAATTTGATGTTGACTAGGTCTCTTTCTTCAAATAAATTTCCTCTCAAGCTATGTTATACGAATTCTTCTCCCTCATGCTGCTGGCCTTCCCTTTGAATTAGTAAAAACCCATATTCTTCATTTGTCTCAAATTTCTTTCCAAACTTGGCAGCCTTACCCTTTCAGATTTTATCAAACATGACATGTAAGAAAACACCACATTATCAACACTTGCTTCTCTCTAATTGGTCCACGTTATTGCTGAGGGGATTCTCTCTGATTGGTCCACGTTATTGCTCAGGGGACTATCAAATTTTGGTGCCAACACATTCTAAATTAGTTTACACGAAATGTCTAGTCCAAATTATAAAACTGATAGATCATTTATTACAAATAAAAGGTGCAGCATGCCTAGGCCAAGGTATGAACACGATTTGTATTCCTTTCCTCATCTTTTGTTGACTTAAAAAGCACAGGTAGTGCTTTTGGTTAGTACCACATGGCTGCCAAGATACCACAAAATCGCTGGGCTAGTGTGAAAGTGTCTTATGAATGAAGGTTAATTTAGAAAATAAATCTCAATGTCACTTCTCTGCGGTTTTGTTTTAATAAAACTGATAGATCATTTATTACAAATAGAAGGTGCATCATGCCTAGGCCAAATTTGTATTCCTTTCCGCATCTTTTGTTGACTTAAAAAGCACAGGTAGTGCTTTTGGCTAGTGCCACATGGTTGCCAGATACCACAAATCGCTAGGCTAGTGTGAAAGTGTCTTATGAATGATGGTTAATTTAGTAAATATCACTTCTCTGCCATTTTGTTTTAAATTTTGGTGACAATTCATCTTCTGTTTTTTATATTATTTTATTTATTTTTTATTTTTTATTTTTTTACAAAGGTCACTTTGAAACAATTTTATTGACTATTTGTCACTGAAATTTAATTTTTTCAGATAAAAAATGATATTTAAAACTACTTCAGGTCTAAAAGAATAAGTCTTAAGGTGTTTTAAATGGAATCTCTAATTTTAGCTTACACATATTTAAGGACATAAAAACCCTTAGGAAAGAATTATTGGCTAGAATAGCATTGTTTCTTTAACGAGGACTATTAGCTACAGTATGCCACTGTAGAAGGGTATTCGCTTCTCTGATCGGTTGAAAAAACAATCATAAAAGGCATATTTAATGCTTCTTTTTTATTTTAATGAACTTAAAGTTTTAGGACTAAATTAGCCTTTAAAATTCTTAGTCTATATTTTCTTTCCTGTTTGTATATGTATACATGTATATAACCTTTATTATTTACCTTTTTGTACAATTGTCTTTTTATATATATATATATATATGCTCACATTGATGGATCTTTAGTTTTCGCCATTATTAAGTTTTAATTGAAGTAATATTGTGAAATTTGAGTTTTAATTGAATTAAAATTATAGAATTTGAGTTTTAGTTGATGTGTAAAAAAGATAAATGAAAATGGTTTAATAATAGTATATTGTTAACTGTGTATGTATATGTACACACACACACACATATATATATGTTTATATACGTAAACAAAGGAAAGGAAATTTTTGGAAAAAAAAAAAAAAGAAAAGGAAAGGAAATAATCCATTCACATGAGGCGCTTATTATTATTTTTATTTATTTATTTATTTATTTATTTTTTTGGGGGGGGGATCGATCACATAATATTGAGGACATATATATATATATATATATATATATATATATATATATATATGTATGAATAATTTTTTTTTTTTTACCACTATGAATAAGAATCATTAAAAGAATTAAATAAAAAATAAATAAATGCAAGAATGAAGGTAATATATATTTAACTAATTACAGAAGGAAGATTATCTATGTGTATGGCAGGAGAAGAAAATGTTAAGTTTTAAAGACTAATTTGGTCCTAAAATGTTAAGTTTTAAAGTTCCATGAATATAGAAAAAATATAGTAAATATATTTTTAATGATTAATTTTTCAACCAATCAAATGCAGGATTGCATCCAGCAATCCACTTCTTTAATATACATCTAACAAAACTACATGCATTCAAGAAGCACTCAATATTAATTAAATAATATCCGTCTCCTTAGAAGGAACCTCAATAACCAACTTTTTTAAGTGCGTCAAACTAATATCAAATTTACTAGTATAATCCAATCATAAATCCTGACCTACTTTAAAAAAATAGGGATCTGATAACTGTGGATTTCATACTAAAATAATTGAAGCATGTAGGTTCAATAATGTTCAACCACCTAGCTAGTCAATTCTTCTTTGTAGCACTAGGGGAAACTTTTGAAAGTTTCAATATTTATTGTCCCTCAAACATTTAAGAGAAGCATTGCATGGGGCACCATGATCTCTCACTACTGGTGGTTCACAATCTTCCACACAGGATGTATCAGTCTTGATGCAGACTAATCAAAATCACTTGGCCCATACCCATACACCTGCATTTGCATGATCCATCTCTTTACTCCGGTTCAAAGTGAGATTTTGATTGTGACCCACCATATCGTACTAGCTTCTTTATGTTGTAGTTTTTATATGGTCCCAAATGCTTCTTCTACCTAAGAAGTTGAAAAAAAAGGTTTCACAAAGACGGGTAACGTATATGAGAAATTTGGATAAGATATATACATGGTTGGTTGTCATTTTAGGTTGGTCTAGCCAGTCAGTCAAATAAAACGGTCTATTGATCTGTCGGTATAGAAGACAGATTCATGAGATTTGTTCTATTTTTGGGTTGATATGCTGATATTTCCGATCCCTTAGTTGTTCGTCTTCTATTAAAAATTTAATTCTAGCCTTTAATTATCTCTATTCTTTCTTTCTATAAATATCTTTGCACTTACTGTTCGTCTTCTATTAGGAATTTAATTCATTCTTTAATTATCTCTAATTTTTCTCCATAAATATTTTTAATCTTTATTTTGTCCGTAAATGAGGTTTGATAGGTTTAATTAATCGTAAAATAAGAGATGTTACCAAAAGGTAAAGGTAATACAAATATATAGAGATGATTTTATTAACTTTCAGGACTCCAATAACATTCATTCTCTACAATACAATTTAATTTTATTAATGTGATTTTATCATAAAAAATTATACAAATGGTCTCAACAACCACTTTGGACTCCATTAACATTCATTGTCTATAATACAATTTGATTTTATTAAAATTTTATAAGTAGGTATTATCACTAACAATTAATCAAATCTCTCTTTGCAATTATATGAAGGTATCCGGTTGTGTGAGAAAGATGGATGAGATGACTAGAGAAAAACTGAAGAGAGAATGAGAGAAAAGAAAAGAAAAAGATAAAAAGAGAAATATTGGACTCTGAAAAAAAACTAAAGAGAGATAAACTTAATACTTATCACTTTAAATATTGTTACGTTGCATATCCACATAGATAGCCACATAAATTAGGTTAGAGAAATCGATTTATCTTTGTGCAAGTATCATTTTCCTATATATATATATATATTGTACTATCTCTGTCGAGACAAACTGAATAACTACAAACTCCCGTCTATTCTCCCGTTGACGTAGGTTATTTGCCAATCATGTTGTATTCTTTTTTATTTGTTGCTTTATGATCACTTTCTTTGTGTTCATATTGATTAAGAACCTGGTTTATGAAATATCAGTTTTATTTGAAATAACTTACTTTGATTTTACATTGATACTTTTAGTAGGAAATCTTAAAGGTATACATTGGGAAATCTTGAACGTTTACATTTTATGCAAATTATTAGTCTCACTGGCTAGCATGCACATAGGATTGCTTAGATTTGGATTTGGGCATTGTTTGGTTTGCCCAGTAAACTAAATCTGCATCATTTCCTAGAAAGTCTTCGTGGCAGTAACCGGTAGACCAAGAAACAAAGTGGTTCCTTTCTTCTCCTTTCCAT